AAATTAACTAATAAAAACTCTCGTTATATTTAAAAAAAAAAATCCAGAAATAGTAGAATTGCAAAATTTAGTCCATTTAACCTTAAATTTTTCTCTTAATATTTGGAGCGCATCAGTAACGATTTCCTCTCAGTATCAGCAGTATATAGAAAAAACTGGGTCAGTATCATTGAGAAATTCAGGAAAACTGCGGCTGAAATCCCTCTTCACTATTCAATTTCTTTATAACCTTGAGATTCGCCGAATACTTTATTGAGGAAAGAAGGAAATGAAAATTTTCCTTCTTTCTAATGAGTTAGTGTCTGATGTGTTGCCACGGTATGGTGCATCCAGCTGAACGGCTTGCGAGGTTAGGAACCCACCTTTTTTTTCTCTACTCGCAACGGAACGATTTGTTACGTCACGCAGTATACGAATCGGTGCGGATCGGTGCATTTTATAGACGTTTTGCTTCGGGTGTGCATACCGTATCGGCTACATATACTTACTTTTCGCGTTATAAAATGTAATTTCTTTACACGTTTCTTACAATCAGTAATATCACAAAGTGCAACGTATCAGCCCAAACTTATGATAAGGTATGATTTATACGAGTTTCTAGATTCTTTGTTGTCTTTCTGTCTACCGTGCTTACTCAAAAGAAGTATTCCAATTGGTAGGAGGCCTTTTCGCCCAAACTTTTTTCCCCAATAGCCAAAATGTTTAGAGTCATTTGTCCCTACTTTTTTCACCCAAAAAACCACCAAAAATTCATCCAAAGAAAATTCACCCTACAATTTTGACAAAAAGATTTTCGGTGAAAATTCTCGTGGGAAACATAATTGGGTGAAATGGCATACAACCATTGCAATTATCAAAGTGAACCCAGGCCTTTTTTTGACAAATATCGGGCTCGTTCAGATTTATGACATATCTTGGCTGTTACAAATTCGACTTTTTTCAAAGTCAGGTCAGCGTTACGTAATACAAAAGGGGAGTGTAGGCCGGCGTTACGGGTGCGTTACAAGGGGCTCGGGGGTCAAAAAATTGGAAAAGGTGCGTTACCTCATACCTGAACGGCCCCCGACCTGTGTTTTACCCCTCCGTCTAATTTGTCCCCGAGCAACCGGGAAGATTGAATCTGCTGATTCGAATTGAATTCTAAACGGACCATATTTTGCAATAAGGAACCACTATTTCTGGCTCATTTCAGATTCAGAAACAGCATATATGCCATCGGTTTCCCTCGGCAGAAAGGTGATTTTATGGAGGAGCCAGAGGTAGTGGTTTCTTATCGAAAAATGCAATTCAAATATCCTCCCTCTCGTGTCTGCTTTGAGCGATTTTTGATAGGTCTATCCTATCCTGCGTTATAAAGTTGGATTAAAGCTCACGGTAGTCAATTCATTGACCCACTCGGGTGCAACCCCGATGAGACAACTCTTTCCTCGCCGACGGAGCACCGCACCGGGGAGTTGATGCTTTCGGTTGCTCGTGTTTTGATTAACGCAGTTGTTAAAGGGACTTTGAACCCTAGTTACAAATCTGCCCCCTCCCCCGCCCTCCCTGGCGTGCGGCCCCCCTCCTCCCTGTCGCTGCGGTGGCTCCGTCCTCACCCTCCCCCGCGCATTCTTTGTCCCTCTCCCTCCCCCCGCGCCAGTCCCTATCTGTCTCGGTCCCTCCTCAGCTCGGCTCCTCCTGGATGCGGAACAGCGTTACCGTGTTTTTATAAATATATATATTTTCCCGTTGTTGAGGAGCTCGATTAAGGGTGGTTTTTACACCAGCGGGCTGATTATTAACATTTATAGACAAAGCAATGTACAAAAACGATACGCTGAAAATAAAGTGATTCTATCCGTGGAAGCGGGTAGTTGCAACGGACAAAGGAGGTAAGCACACGGAGAAAAAAACTTCGTGCGTGGGACCCGAAGTTTAGGACATATGGACCTTTGAAGTTTTCGGATTGAGCATCTGAACATTTAAAGTCCAGCTGCTGAGGTTTGGATCACACATCTGAAACTTCAGTTCTTACATCTGAAGTACTTCGGTTCTCACATCCGAAAAACTTCGGTTCTCACATCCGAAAAACTTCGGTTCTCACATCTGAAGTACTTCAGACGTAAGAACTGAAGTTTCAGATGTGTGATCTAAACCTCAGCAGCTGGACCTTAAGTGTTCAGACGCTCAATCCGAAAATTTCAAAGATCCATATGACCTAAACTTCGGGTCCCACGCACGAGTTTTTTTTCCGTGCACTAGACTAACTAGCCACGACCCACGAGGGACCCTATAGTTGTCAGTCTATCATTTTTCCCCTTAGTTTATGACAACTACCAGTTGCAACCAATAGATCGCTCCATGTTCCCTATGGGGATCCTAAAATGGACCGCGTTAAGCAGAAAGGCACCAAGCCTCATCAGCTATTGCAAAAATCGGGCAACTTAATTTTTTACATGGAAACGGTTGTGCGGATTTTTGTGCTAAGTTCGGTGAATTTTCTGCAAAATACGAAGCAAATTCTTCAAAATTGTCAAAAAAAATCATCACAAACGTTCTCTTGTAAAAAATAAAATTGCCCAGTTGTTGGCCATAGCTGATGTAGACCACATCTTGCAATAAGGAACCACTATTTCGGACTCATTTTAGAAACAGCATAATATGCCATTGGTTTCCCTATACAGAAGGTTGCTTTTATGAAAGAGCCAGAGATAGTGGTTCCTTATTGCAAAATGCAATACATGTGGCTTGGTTCCTTTCTGCTTAACGCGGTCCAAATATTGCTTCTCCTTGACGCAACACCAATCGCCATCGCGTCTATACTGTGCACGATGTGACACAGGTGTCTCGAATGTCGAAGGACGACCGGGTCATCAGCTAGTTAGACATCCATGTTGCGCCCCTGTCATTTTACCTTCTTTATCAGGCATTTCTGTACGGAAGAGGAACGGAATACAGTTTTTTACCCTCTCCCAGAAGTGCACCCATGTCGAATCGAATGGATTGAAAGAATTTATTCGAAGGAGGCAAAATTTGTTTCGGAACCCCTATAATATAAACATTCAAAATGCATTTGAACTCACAAACTTACCAACAATTTCTGGGCAACTTTGCAAAATATTAACAAAAAATCAAAGAGTTCCTACATCTGACAGCAATACTGGAAGGTCTAAAAACCAAAACTTGAATTTTTGCAAAAACTCGAAGTACTAATTTTTTTCGTTTTCGTTTTTTTTTTTTTTTTTTTTTTTTTTTTTTTTTTTTGGACGATCCAAAAAACGTTTGAAGCGTGCGAGGAAAATCAGAGGAATTCTCCGCTGTCTCTCCCCAGGATTCCCAAAATAAGTATAAATGAATGTAGAACTCTCGTGGTTAACCTCGTCAATTTTCGCAGGAGTGGAAGTAAGGTTAGAAAGGAAATTAACTTTTATGAAGCTTCATATTTTCGTCCGTCATAGGAAGTTTCCAGAATAGCTCGGAAAAGAGTGTTGACCTGATAAGAAACTGAAATACACAATAAGTGAGACTATATTCAAACGTAGTGAGTATTTTTTTTAGGTTTACATTAAAATCGCAAGCAAATCTTTCTCGAGGCTCTCAGTCAGAGGTTAGAACCCCCGGGAATTTTTTATTCACCGTTCACGCACCCCTTTCTACAACCTTATTCCGGAGATCCTTGAAGAATTCTCGAAAGTCGTGGATTTTACTGGTTATAACTCCTAGAATTCAGCAATGGAAAGGTGTCATAAACCCTGTTCAAAATTATGGCGTGTTTAAGGTCCGTCGCATAGTGGCCTAAAATTTTCAGTTTTCCCGGTCTATTTTGGCAGCAGTGGCGATTAAGCGGACTGGCTTCGGGTTTGCTTGCTTGCTAGCTAGTCCGGAGTCGAGACATATCTAGGGAAACGGGAATGCGTCGTTGATTAGCAAGTGTTGAGAGGAATCGAATCAGCTCCGTCACTCAAATAAATCCCCTGGCTCAACGGGAGCCCACAGCAGCCCCGCGAAACGCGATTGGTCACTCAACGCCCCCACCACTCGCACCTGACAGTCTATCCATACTGCCGTGCTAAGGAAGAAAGCCGTATGAACCCTCGAGAGTTGCCAAATTTTACTTGATAAAACATGTATTTTTGACAACATTCGTGCATATTTTTCCTTGAAATTTTCAGATATTTGCGTGCAAAATTGTCTGAAAGTTTTGGGGGAAAATACTCACAATTTTTCTAAAAAAAATTCGGTTCTTATCGAAGGAAACTTGGCAACGTATGAAGGCTCATACGGCGTTCTTCCCTAGCACGGCAGAATGAGCCAGAAATTGTAGTTCTTTTTTGCAAAATGTAGACCAATTTTAAAGCTAGGAAGGAAAAACAGAGGTTCATCGATGATTTTCTGCTTCCCAGGAGGGGGAGTCCAAGGGGACTGTTACGTATTTTTCAGGGGGGTGTAGACCTGCGTTACGCGGGTAAGGAGAGAAAGCAATTAACACATGGTGTCTCTTTTTTTAAAAACCGGGATTCATCAGGGAATGAAAATTTACCGGGAAAATCAGGGAATCTGTTCCAGAAACTGGGAATCTCTTTCATTAACCAGATAATATCAACATCAGGAACATTTTTTTAATTAAAATTTTGAATGTGCGCCAAAGAAATGACCGTAAGATTAATTAAAAACGATATTCATATCTGAAAGTCTGGAAAATTATACTCTTTTCCCCTAGAAAATCCCGGGAAAGTAGGAGAAAACTTCGGTTTCTCATCAAGGAATGAGCTCCTAATAATCAGGTAAAATCGGGAAAAAATCAAGGAATGAGCTTTGCAATGTAATCTAGACACCATGGATTAACAACAATCTGATTTCTAGCACCAAGTATTTCATGAACTGAACGGCCCTCTAGTTGGAAAGTAGGGACTTCGTAATCGCATGCTTCTCTATTTTTGTGCGCCTTCCGAGAACGAAGGCTTCGTTCACAATCGTAATTTTTTGTATGCTAATGTGAAGTGGTGTTTTTTCTGTTGCAGTAATGCATTCTGTACATCCAGAAAGTAGTATATCGAAGAGCCCCGAGGTGCTGAGCCTCGTTGTCGACTTGGGGACGCTCATCGTCGAAGGGCGGACCCGACAGCGCAATGCCAAGGGGGGCTTCCTCGAGGGCCCCCACTGCCCCAACATCGGATTCCCCACCCCCTCGAACCACGTTTGCGACATCAACAACGAACAGGTGAGTCTATCATTCTTCCAAACTGCCTCTAAAGCATGGTGTCTAGTTTTTTAAAAACCGGGATTCATCAGGGAATGAAAATTTTCCGGGAAAATGAGGGAATCTGTTCCAGAGATCGGGAATCTCTTCTCCAACCACCCAGGAACTTTTTTTTGAATTAAAATTTTGAATGTGCGCCAAAAAAATGGCTGAAAGATTAATTAAAATCGATATTCATATCTGAAACTCTGGAAAATAACATTCTCCCAAGAATATCCCGGGAAAGTGAGAGAAAACTTCGGTGTCTCATCAGGGAATGAGCTCCTGAAAATCAGGGAAACTCAGGGAAAAATCAGGGAATGAGCGTTACCAAGAAAACTAGACACCATGACCTAAAACTCTTTAAGGGTTGAGTGCCTGAATAGCGAAGGCATAGGAACTGCGAAAATCCATCAGGCCTTCACCGATGCCTCCACGAATCCCAAAAGCCAAAAGGCCCAAAAAGGTAGCCAGCCTAAGAATTCAAATTATCCAGAACGAAACGATATATTATTACAATTGTTACGACCCGCCGTTTGTAAAGTACGCATTTGATTTTTGTTAGTGTTTGCACTAAATCACTCATTTTTGTGGGAAAACGCGCAGTTATGAACATTCTTGGCCATCTTACGATTAGTTTGATATTGGAATCTGAAGATTGGCAATGAAATTTTGTGCGTTACAAGGTTGGCTGCCCTTTTGGGCCCTAAGCCCTCCCTAAATCGAGCTGTCTGTACTCTCGCTGTGCGAGAATTCTGAGGAAAAAGGCGTATGAGCTTTTATGCGTTGCCAAATTTCCTACGAAAAATACGAATTTTGAAGGAAATTGTTGGATATTTATTCTCCAATTTTTTAAAGAAGTTCACACGCGAATTGATTTAAAGTTTGCGAAAAATTCAAGAAAAATATTCATGACTTTCTTCAGAAATTAGTGTTTTATTAGGGGAAATTTGGCAATTTCTGAGCTTTCATACGGCGTTTCTCCTTAGCATGGCAGCATTGTTGCCGCATTACCCAAGAGAGGTGTGAAGAATGAACTGAAAAGGGCGGTGGGGGGGGGGGGGGTAAAAATTTGCCATTCGTAAGAATCATTTTGTTGGTCGGTGCTTGCCAGCGGTCGTCAAATGCAATCAATAAGGGCTGCGTGCAGGTAAGTGCACATGAAAACTGTATTGTCGGCTATGAGAGCCGTGAGGGGAGACGTGTAGGCAACAATAAAGGTCATCAACCTCTCCCGCTAAGTTCCGTGAGCATCGCATTGACATTTTCGTTACTCTTCATAAAATAAATAACATATCAAGGGTCCAAAAGAAAAAGAAAATTAAAATTTTGAGATGGGCATAAAGTGATCCATGCGTTCGAAATTATTTTGGATGTGTTGAATTGAGGAAGTAACACCCCATTCAAGGCAACTGTGTTTTGGATGCGAACTCATTGAGAACGCACACACTCCTATTTTGTGAATGGTTGGATTAGAGAGTTCATCTCTCGAAGATGAAATTCAGCTTTTCAGGATCACATATTTTTGTTGCCTTATTTCACGTCAGTTCAAAAACGCCCATCTGCATTATTTTATTGCTATTGCACAGCTCTGGATTAATGAGAGTTCATCTCTTGAAGATGAAACTCAGTTTGTCAGGATCACATATTTTTGTTGCCTTATTTCACGTTAGTTAAAAAACGCCCATCTGCATTATTTTATTGCTATTTCACAGCTCTGGATTAACTAGAGTTCATCTCTTGAGGATGAAACTCAGTTTGTCAGGATCACATATTTTTGTTGTCTTATTTCACGTTAGTTCAAAAACGCCCATCTGCATTTATTGCTGTTGCACAGCTCTCATCCGGTGCCCCAATGTTTTATCTGTGGAAGTAAGTTATCAGTGTTCCTTGACTTTTTCTCTCCTCCTAATGTAAAGTATCGTTTTTGATTAGAACATGGAGTGGTTTTTTTTTTTTAATCAGTAGAAAAATGTTCGAAAATTGTTAATGGATTTTTGCTCCTAAGGAAAAACAGATTTTTCGTATTATTAAATTATGATTAATCTTTACTTATTCTGTTTTGATTTAGTGTGCTTGGATTCAACGTTTACGCTTGCAAATTGCTTTGCTCTGGAAGAACTTCGGATCTTTTTGTATCGAATTGACAGTTTCACCTGATTGTGGGCTATGCGGAGAATTCAACCAGAATTCCTCTTCAGACCATATCATCGAGCAGTGGTTCATCACAGCAGACACAAAAAAGTAAGTTTCAGGGAAAGTCTAAAAAGTGGAAAATTCACCATCATCTATGAATTGAGACTTACCATTAATGGTCTGAATTTCAGTCATAATTAAGTCTTTTCGAGTTTCTTGAATATAGTAATTTCCTTTATTTTTTTAGAAAAATTCTACAAGGTTGTGAAAATTGTCTGTAAGAAAATTATATAAAATTGAAATTCATCCTCCTTAATGCCTTAAGATCAAGATCATAAACTTACAGGTCTTCACAATTTTTCATTAAGATTGGGTCATTGGGGCAGTAAATTATTTTCCTAAACTGCCCAAACTTGTCATTTAAAGTGGCTTAATTGTTTCAAATTAACTTTAAGATACCAATTCTTATATCAATAGTGTCGGAAAAGAAGATCCATACTGTAACCTTAATATTTTGTCTGAATTTAAAAATTCTACTAAATTCAAAGTTTAAGACCTTCAGATGGAGTCTTACTGTGCTGCTTTACTTTTAATCCACAAGAGTGAAGGAAAATAAATTTATCTTGGAGTCTTTTTTCATCAGGTTTGTCTTTTTTTAATGTTTTTTACTGAAGTAATGATGTTTCAATTACAGGAAGGAAGATAATTTTGTCATCACCGGGAATCACTTCTTCCAAGCCATTCGTTCTCAGTTGCACTTTTCTCAACTCACTGCTTGGTGGCACAAGAATGGAGGAACTAACCCAGCTCGAGTTGGGAAAAAAGTCGCTAACGTGTCAGCTGTTAACAGCTCCTTCAGTCAATCGGCGAACGTTCATACTTTTCCTCTGCTGAATGTTGGGTTGCCAGAATACATTAAAGTAAGTAATTTTTTTCTCACAGATTCTTGATGTTGTGTACTTTTATCCCAACGGGTTATTATAGTGATTAAATCTTGTCCCCACCCAAAAATGATAGGAATTTCATGATCAGCAACGGGATTGTTGAAACTTTAACTGGTTATGTCGGCACGATAAGACAAGACAAGACATAGCCCTATCTGCGCCGTGTAATATGTCGATTTTCGATTCTTGTCGTCCCGACATAAATTTCAACAATCAGACTGCTGAAGTGCCCTTTGTAGAGCTATAAGAAAACTAAAACAGGAGGAACAAAATAAAATAGCTTACACAGAATTTTTACTTGAGTAATATTTTGAAAATATGTATTTGCCAAAAAGTCTATGAATTTTTTTAAACGATGGAAAATTGTGAAAATAATGTGTCAGAATAGGTTTTCTAAGATTGAACCATAACTTTTAATATTAACAGCATTTCTGATAGAAGTTCTGATTATAGTTCATTTTAAAATTTTAACAAAGGTTCATTGTGAATGAATTTGAACTTCTGTTTTCAAGCCTTGTCATACTCCATTAGTGTCATGTTTTTTGTGACTTCTGCCATTCTTACTCTATTTCAAACTGCCTCCTCCAGGTGACTGTCTTGAGTGCCCCGCGTTCTGAGCAGCCTCCAAGTGTTCGTTGCACTCTTCATTCTGTAATCGGAATCGGAGGAATTCAGATGCAAGGTGATTGCAGATTTTAGTTTTGTCTTGGCCTGTTGAAAAACAGGATTCATTCATTTGCATTTTGTGCTGTTTCTTTTTATCTCTCTCTTTTTAACATGTAAGTTATCTATTCCTCTCCTTCTATTCAGTTGCACTACCCAATCTTGCAAGGAAAAAAAAAAAGAAACTTCAAGGAAAAATCATAATCAAATTGTTAAATGTTTTTCTCTTTCATCAACAGGCAGAAATATGACTGCTTTGAAAAACGTTGAAGTTTTTATATATCCCTGTATTTTCACCAAAACCGGAATGATATTTTCAATTAAAAAGTTTGAAAACTTGCTAAATTTTTCTCTCACGTTTTTCCATTTTTTTCCCCTCTACTTTATCAAGCACCCAAAGTTTAACATACGGAATAAAAAATTACCTCCCTGACTTTTGTACCTTTCCACTCCTTTTCTTTCTATCCATGGCTGCCTTGCTCTGTCCTCTTTTTCTTTTGCATGGTGATCATCTCTCAAACTTTAAATCTCTTTGCGCCCAATGTCTTTAGTTTTATCAACATTTTCTTTCTACGGAGATCATTCTCTAAAATATGCCTGCAGACAAAATGTAAGCAAAAGTAATTCTTCTCTAGTTATCTTAAAATAATCTTACGCCAAAAAGAGCACATTCAATAAAAATTTTGAAATCAATTCTGAAGCCGGAATGACTGTTCCGAAGGAAAAAAAATGATGGAAGACAAATCTTATTTCTGCAAGTTCTATCCGGAACTAATTTCTAAATAGGACATAAACTTTACTGATTTTTTTAAAATAAATTCTTTCATGCTGAGGAAAATTCCAAAGGAAAAATGACCCACGTAGCTCTATGTGATCCTCTTTTTGTAAATGATGCAACCATCTTGAAACCTAGGAACTTGTATCTTTGACTCGTCAATTTGGACTCAGTTAATTTTTATTAATTCAAACTGTTAATTTTTGGATACTTCTTCCTCGTGTTTTTATTAATTTTCATAATTTTGTGATCAGGTATTGGTGTTGCGGAGGACCGTGTGAAACCGTGTGATAAACCTGGAAAGCACCGCTGCGAGTGTAAAGATGAACTTGTAGATGAAGCCCCACGCTCGCGGCGAAGAAGAAAACTGTCAGACCTGCTCACCCTCAATGGCAACCTCAGCTCAATGAAGAACCTTTCAATAGCTGAAGATGCCAATAAATTTAAAGAGTTATCTTCACCAGACGATATTTTGCGAAAACGAGCTCTCTGGGGTCTCAATATGGACGAGAAATTGTTGTCGGATGATTTTTCCAAATGGTCTTTTGTCAACTTGTCCAAGACTTCTCTGTCGAATGTTGCAGATTCATTTTCTTTGAAGCAGAGTGAACCCAATGATGTTCTGAGTTTTCAGCTGAGTTCTCAAGAAATTGAAGAAGTTTTGACAGTTTTAAGGTGCGTACTAATTTTACATCGCACAAAATTTCGAATTTTTTTATTTCCTCAAATATCCCTGTATCATTGGCAAGTCTAAAAGAAAAATCAGTGCAAATAGCTTCCTGAAATTTTAATCAAGCTTTATTCACCTCGAACTGTCTGAAGATGACCAACTATAACTGCATGTCAATAAGTTTTATATTCTAGAAGTTTTGAATAAATGCTCCATTGATGTAAAATATTTTTTTCACAACGAGTTCATCTAAAGTTATCAGAGTTTTCTCCGAGTATCCGACGTTTTCAATGTTTCTAAAAAATCATGAACTTTCGATGTTTCCTAAGTATCAGACAGGCAATTCCTCTTTATATTTTAGCATTTACTCCAGAAATGACGTGGGCTTTTCAAATTTTTTTCATCCTGGAAAATAGAGATGTTCTTTGCAATTCCTTGCTCTACAAGTGAAGAGGAATTGAAAAGAGAAACATTATCAGTGCTGGCTTGTAGATTTTCAACAGATTTAACCATCGTTAATCCCTAGTTTTTTCAACCAAACTTGGTAGCTCTGATATCCGAGACAGAGCTCTAAAACAGTCTGGATTCTAATATCTATGACAGCTAAGTTAAGTTGCGTTGATTAGTCCAAGGTACACTCTACTACAGGTATGGACAAAACGGGGTGCCAAAGAGGCAGCGCTGAGAATCTAGGCCATCGAGTGACGTCGTAAGTCTTACCGTCTTTGCTGCGCAGTTCAAAGTGAGGTTCTGGCAGATCCTGGTAGTTTCAATAAGCTATCAGATGAATTTAAAAAATTGATAAAACTCCAAATAACGAAAAATTCAACCAAGAAGACAAAAAAAATCACACAAAATTGATGAGACCCACTCTTAGAACAGGAAATAATCAAGTTTTCAATATGGCGTTGCAGTCGTACCATTGGACACTGTCAAATCTACGCGTTTCGACAATTGGCTAAAATTCCATTGGTCCATACCTGTAGTAGAGTGTACCTTATGTCGGAGAAAATGTGTTGTGAAATTAACTAGCTACATTCATTTGTTTATAATCTGTAGACTTTCTAGCATGTGACAATTCTGGATTATACAATACAATTTCATATGTATTTACTTTTTCCAGGTGCCCGAGGTCATTATCAAGCCAGCACAACCAGTTTGGTGAGTATCCTGCTCAAACACTCACCAAAGACTCTGCTGACTGGGAACAATCAAACTTCCGGGAAGCAACCTACCTGCCATGGCCTGTGCCGCGGAAAATCTCAGATGTTAACAAATCTGCCGCAGGACTGGAAAAGATGTCCGCTGAATGTTCAACGTTCCGCCCTCCCTACCTGCGTGCTAGGACTTTAGCAACCAAACCTGAAATGGTTTTCGAACCTATACATGATCTCAATTCGATTGAAAATACTGTTAATGATCAAACTAGTCAAACCAATAATCTTTCAACGCCAGTCATCAAATACCGTCGTGGCTCTATCAGTTTTAAAGCTTACCCTAACAGTACCAGAGTCGGTCAACCTGTGGATACAAATAAAAATAGGACGGAATGTGAATCAAGCGAAAAACTTTTTGTTGACTTACACCAGAAATTGAATGATAAAAATAATAATAGTTGTGATACCAGTAAAAGTACTTGTTGTGAATCCCCCTCGGTTCCCAAAAGTGAACCATTTACTTTTACCAATTCAAAAACCATTAAGCACGGATTGCGAATCAAAACTCTCCATGAACGTTGTCTAATCAATAACATTAATAACAGTAAATCGAATAATATTTTTAATAATGTCAACAGTAACGTTATAAACAATAATAGTTGTAGTAGTAGTAGTAGTTATAGTGATAATCTTAATAATTTATTGAAAAAAATTGATGATTGTGATATACCAAGTCTTTCTAATGCCTGCGCTGTGAAGACCAATTCTCAGGCTTCTACACCATACCAGACTCCATCAAGGAAAAACAGCGGTGACTTCTCCGGCGATGAATATTCTTTCGAAGTAAGCCATCCCTTTTTTTTCTTTCCATCAACTTTCTTTTTTTTCTGGAAGGATGGGGGGATTCTGAACTTGCGTGTTTGGATCGCATTTAGCAGAAGAGAACCCGTGCAATGGGCCTGTTGCATGCAAGAGATACAGCTGCGCAAATGGACTTTGTAGAGGTTAAATGACACGAAAATTACGATGGTCACATTAAAAAAGTCTGAAATACACTCCTTACTGCGCAATTTGCGTTGTTAGGAACGCGCTTTTTCAAATTTCCCGCGTCTGGGGGCAGTTTTCTAATCACCGGAAACGAGCAAACGGCGGGCTCGGTGATTTCTGGAAGATGCCGAGTCGTTGTTGTTGTTGTTATTTTTTCCTTCAGTTTGTTTACAAACCCAATGTGATCTCCTATAGTGGTCCATATACGCTTTATGCTGTAACCAAATCGATCAATTTTTAAATATCCAACGCAATCCTTCTACATTTCATTTCACGATGTCTCGAGCTCCGATTTTTAGGTTATGTTGTCAGTTTTAGTTGACCGGAAATAGCCGCGAGTTGCCGTTAATTGTTTCCGTTAGAAAACTGCCCCCAGACGCGGGAAATTTGAAAAAGCGCGTTCCTAACAACACAAATTCCGCAGTAAGGAGTGTATTTCAGACTTTTTTAATGTGACCATCGTAATTTTCGTGTCATTTAACCGCTATAAAGTGTATTAGCACGGCTGTATCTCTTGCATGCAACAGGCCCATTACCTTTTGCTCAAAATTGCACAACTGCTCCTTTGCTCAAAATCGCATAACCGCCCCTTTGCTCAAAAAAATTTATAATATACACACATGAGTTTAATTCACACGGATGCCTCTCTTCAAAATGAACGATTTTTTCGTAGAAAAACCAGAAGTATTTGCTATTTCAGGCCTTTAGGTATTTTAAAGTGGAAAAGAAGATGCACGATTTTTAAAACACTGTGATTGTTTTAGTTGCCTTTTGCTGAATGTAATCCATTAAAGATAATCAAGGTCTAAATTAATAATGAAAATAAACTTCCTATATTTTTTATCATATAATTTTTTAACACTCTGAATTTAAAGGCTCTCATTTCTTCTCTCAGTCACCTGTCTTAAGACAGAGTAAAAAGTTCATCCGAGCGTAATTTTCCTTCTGAAAAATAACGAGACATTAGTTTTACTCTGCCTTTGAATGCACGTCAGCAAAATTACCAACACATTGTTTAAATGACTCGAGTTTCAAACTGCAATTCTGTTCTTTTCTTATCTGTAGTTTACTAAGCTCTTGTTGATCTGTATGTTTCATGACTTGCACAGAGTATCATAGCAACTGCTGTTTGATTAATACGAAACTGATTTTAAAAAAATCAGAAATAGCTAGCTACTTCTGCGACGTCAGTCAAATAGGTAGTATGTTGAAGTTTTTTAGCCAACTTGCTTTTAAAATTCCTGAATGGTCGTAACTAGTGTTGCACCAAACAGCATATCTCTTTGAGGGAAAATTGTGCTCATATGAGCTTTTTCCCTCCGTTCCAAGATTTACAGCTTTATGCTGAATTTTGAACGCGTGTTGGCTAAAAAACTCCTACATTCTATCTTACGACCCGCGCGTCCTCTGCAATCCGCTTGAGCCAAATAGGTATTCATTTCCAAGAGGTGTTCCCACATTTTTCTTCGAAAATTTCTTGAAAAACCAAGAATCCTTTCTATGTTAACACATAATTTCACGTTTGAAAGTGTAGATTTTGCAGGATCTTGGTCTCTTCAAATATGAACTCTTACTCAATTTGAATCGTTGATTTTTTCCAGAATGGATCACGTCCTGTACCATCTGCTTTAGACAAGGAAAAGTTCCGGCGCTCCCTGGACTCAGCAGCTTCAATGGTCTTTCACCATCGCACAGGCCTACCCCTTGCGAACAGTCCCGCCCCAGCACGAAGGCCAGCCTCAACTCACTTCGATTTCGATAGCTCCATCAACTCTGTCTCAGCTATTCGATGGTTAGTTTTATTTTGAAGGTTCTCACATCAAGATCAAAATAAACGTGTCCGTTTATGGGAGGAAGGACTTTTCTTATCGGAGGCAAAATTTTTAAGAGTGCAATTTTTTTTAAAAAAATGTACATCCATGCATGTGTTTGTTCAAAAATGTATGCTCCAAGAGGGAGATTGTTCTTTAATAAGTTGCTCTCAGCCACAGGGAATAAAATGGATTGCTGATTTAAAAATTAAATTGTTACAAAATATGTCCAACATGTTTCAAATGTACATTTTACAAGTGTGGAAGTCTAATATTTTAATTGTAATATTCCCATTGAAACATGTTGGGACAATTTTTTTCAACTACAAAATTATTAAATCAGAAATTTCATTTTTTCTGTGTATTTTTGTACTCATGACCTGTGGAGTTACAGTTAAATCGATGAAAAATTTGAACAGAACTGAGCTTTTAGTCACTTTTGCTGTAAACCAGATTTTTGAACTAATAAATTTTTCACACTCACCTATTTCTAATTTTTTTTTTGGAGGGGGAGGGGCTTTGGCATCATCTTGACTTTCTAAGTCGGAAAATAGAAGTAGTTCTGAGATGATATGACTCGTTGAAATTCAGTGTAGTGAAAAGCAAACAGTCTTTAAATTAAGTTTTTTTTGAAGAATGTCCAGTTATTTCTTAAGAGACCTGCTTCATAACCTATTTTTACTCTTTCAGTGCTTTATACGACCCATCACCTTGTGAGAGCGAAAGTGAAGGCAACTCACCTGTGAGCACTGAACCAAAGTACTCTTTGTCGTGGCCCTCTCCTCAGACCAACTCGTCGCTGTTGGGTAATTTTGAAGAGTCCGTCCTAAACGGTCGTTTGGAGCCTGTGAGCACTGTCCATGGTTTCACAGCTGATCTCGGAGCAAGTGGTGCATTCTGCCCATCTCATCTCATTCTTCCTGTAACTGTATTCTTTTACACCCTCGGAGATCGGGACAAAGTTTCAGCACCGTATCTTGTAAGTCGAAAAATCTTTTATCCTTGAAACCTGATTTGAAATTTTTGAAATCCTGTATGAAAACTTCAAAATGAAAACTTTTGCTAGAGCAAAAATAAGAGTCGTTTCCTTTGGATAATGCCTCAAAAATCATGATGAGTGCATCGGCAAAGTCTGAAATGCACTCATAACTTCACAATCTGCGTAAGAAATTTGCGGTTTTTTAAGCTTCCTACTTCACAAACGATACTACGGCACAGGTGAACATTTTGTTAGAAGAGTCTCTCCATCGTCAGCAATATTCATCATGGCCTACGCTTCTGCAGTTCTGCGCGTAATTCGAGGAGAGTTCAAGGTCAATCAAGGCGGGCGAGGAAAATATGAAAGTAAACACGCCGATTGTTATCTGGTCTTATCAAGGTCAGGTGTTATCTTGTCCCATCACATGTGTTTTAGCAGATTGCTGTCGGCCATGTTGAATTTTGCCGACAATGGAACGACTCCTCTGACACATTGTTCACCTGTGCTGTAGTATCGTTTTTGAAGCGGGAAGCTCAAAAAACGGCAAATTTCTTTTGCAGATTATGAAGTTATGAGTGCATTTCAGATGCGCTCATTGTGATTTTTGAGGCATTATTTATCAGAAACAACTCTTAGTTTTGCTCTAGCAAAAGCTTGCAACAGGCCCATTTTCATTCAAATTAACGAGCATACCGCCAAGGATGTCGTGAGATAGATCTGTATTGACTAGCACATTATCTCTTCAGGGTGTCTACCAGTCCCTAAAGTCTGGAAAGTCCGGAAAAAGTACGTAAATCTCGCGGAAGGTCCGTAATTTTTTGCATTTTGCGCTGCGCGTTCAGTTCGATCGCCTGATAGTTATGCAATCCTCTGTGCGTTGGCCGTCAGACGTATTAGTACAATGTCAGCCTGTAAGAGCGTGGTTGTTGTAGAGGAGCAGAACAAGGCATTTCCCTCGATTTGATGGAAACAGCCGAAAAAGCCACGGGAATAGCCGAAGTAAAGCGCGCAGCAGTGCCAAAATCGAAGTATTACGATACGTTGCGAAAAGGTACTTAAAAAGTACTTAATTTTTCTCCAAGGCGAGGTATTTAAATTTTTCCTTAAGTACCTAAAAAGTACTTCTTATATTTTTGTGGACCTCAGTAGACACCCTGCTCTTGAATGAAGGCCACACTCAATAATATTCATATTAATGTCTCAATCACGATACTTCGATTGGTTTGCGCATCCAAAATTAGGTACTAACTATTGTGTTTCTCACTTTTCAGGCTCATATCAATTTAGGGAAAAAGGGATATGTAGTGCCTCGGAGTGGTACTATTCAAGTTACGTTAATGAACCCACTCGGAACTGTGATCAAAATGTTCGTTGTTGCTTATGATCTCTCTGACATGCCTCCCAACACTCACACTTTTTTGCGTCAGCGAACATTGTACATGCCAGCCAACTCCAATCATATTGATCGGAAGTGGTTGCGTTATCTCATTCATCTTAGGTACGTCCTTTTTTGAAAATCCATTCTGTACATTTTCATTTGTTAGTAACCTCATAAAGTTGTACAAATTTGCACTTTCGCCAAAAGTGAATTGCAGTACTCTCTCTGTAAGATTCAACTGTTTTAACCAAAATTTCTCCATACTAAAGAAATAGTCCATTTACAACTCAAAAAAGTGCGTTAGAAGGAACACTTAATTTTGAGAGTAAGTTTGAGTTTCTCTGGTCACTTTTAACCAACAAACGTAATTTTCAACGCAAAGGAAATAGAGATGTGGGGTGCTGAAAATCTAGCCCTGAAATATAGAAAGAAAGAAGAAAAAGAAACGAAAGGAAAAAAGTAAAATGAAGTAAAGGAAAGGGAAAAGTAAAGGAAAGTAATGTTAAGATAGGAAGAAAAAAGTGAAACATTTCTGAACAACAGAATATGTAGCATTCACCTGAAAATATTGTTTTTTGTTCTTTAAATGATTTATTATGAAAACTAACATCATCGGACATATTCTTTTCTATTCCATTTTTTCAGAATTGTGTCTAATTTTTTGCTTGTCTTTCAGGTTTTCCAGTTCTAAATCTGGTCGTATATCCTTACACACTGATATTCGAATGATTATCTTCTGTAAGTCAGATCTTGATACAGCAACTGAACACAAAACTGACACATATGAACTCAGATCATTTTTGCACGGGCCAAGCAACCCTAAATTCTCTCCTCGAAAGTAAAAATTTATTTTATCAAAAAATGTATCAAGGTATTTTTATCCTCATATTTTATTATTGTTGTTTTATTTGTGATATAAAAAGAGAACTACTTTTATTATATTATTTCTATATTTTTTAAATATTTTTAAAAAAGATATTTATATTTCAGAAGAAGTTTCGAAAGATTTAAGTTGCGTAATTATCGCAGCAAGGTGTCTACAAATTTTAATACCCTCATGAAAGTTTAAAATTATTGTAAAAATTAGAAAGGGGTGAAGAATAAAAATTTCACAGCGTCTTTCCAAATCAGTGAATGTTTTTTCCTAGAATTCTGAATCACCTGAAAGTTTTTTCTCACAATAAAAAGTCAAAATATGCAGAATATGAAATTAAAACTCAGTTCTTATCTCTCATTTTTGCCTTTATTTTTATAGCTTGACAAAATTTTTCAGAAATGAATTTTGAAGTTTATGTTTTAGGCGTGAGACAAAATCCATGCCCTTTTCTTTTTGTCCGATCATGGTCAATGAGTGTTTTATTATCCATTTGTAAACACCTTGAGTCGATTTCTCTCCTCCATTTGAGGTATTTTCCCCTAAAATCTCAATGTAACCTCTGCTCCCTAACCTCAAAATGAAGGGAAAAAGAAAATTGTATAATAACCAGCTACGTATAAAAAGCCATTTGTGTAAATTGTAAGCATCCTTTCTAGTTAACGAGGTGGATCGTGTTGTTATACCAGATTTTAGTTGTTTCGTTTTAGGTTAGATATTGTAAAAAAATCGGCAGTCGTAATTCAAAGAAGCTTCTTTTTTTTTGTTCTCTCATTCTTTATGATTTTGCGTGTCTTCTCAGACTCTAGTTGGTGTTTTGTCCGACTGCATTGTATAACATTTAAGCAATATCTCATTTTCGACATATCTGTGAAAAGTTTTTAAACCATAGTCCATCAGTTTTGATGTTTGTCAACTTAAATTATTTTAATATTCAATGTTTCAAACTTAAAAAGGGAAAACAAACTATTAGGCACAAGGGGTAAAGGAGCATGGCATCTTACGAAGTAATGGTGACTGTTTGAAAAGTTCATCTATAAATTATAGATCCATGGATTTTATCAAAATTGTCACTATCTTTTACCTATTCATTTCAGTTTTTAATTATCTGCAAATTCATGCATTTAGTTGTTAACAGCTACAATAATACAAGTTAGCTATGCTCTTGCTTTTTAACTCCTTGCGCTTATTTTCAGTCTACTTATTGTCTTCCAATCTTTTTTGAGGTGGCAGCAATCCTAATATCTTGTAAACTGTTCAGTCAAATAAGGGAAGGAGTTGCTAGGAATCTTTGAAGTGTCTTAAAAAGAAGAAGAATAAAAAAAAATGATCAGGCAGTTGTATGTCCTCTCCATGTCAATAATGTTTTTAAGTCTTTTTAATAACATTATTAAAAGTCTGATAATTTTTTTAAACTTAGTAAGGAAGAGTTAATGGAAAATTAGTCTGGTTGAGTTCCAAAGCTGCAGACAAGGGCCCAAATTTAATTGGTTAAAGCGGCCCAAGTTATGTTGACATTACCGTTGAACTCAGCTGAAACTTACGTAAATAATAATTTGTGTCAATGCTACTCACAAGTCTGTATTTTTTACAAATGAATAAACTTGTAAGTAAAGCCTTAGAGGTTTGGAACATGTATTTCTAGTAATAAATAATATAGGAACTTGGAGTAAATGCCGATTAAATTTGGGTCTTGTGCTTTTAAAAGTTCTGCACGCAACATCCAAATGTTAGCTGTTTATTTTTCGATCAGTCAATTCTATATCAAAATCAAAAAAGTTTCCCTTTAACTCTTCGTGTGATATACTATGTGATACTTAATTGTAATCTGTTCATCAGCAGATATGTTTAGGTATTTACGTACGAAAGCTATCACAATGTTTACCTTTATGTCTCCTAGCATTAGCCAGTCTTCTAAAATCCGTTAAGAATCTTTTCTATGTTGCACAGGCTGAAAGAGTCGGTCTTTCGGCTTCAAACGTTTAATCCAGCAAAACTAATTCCAACTTGAGTTCATCTGATTTCATCCTAAGACTGTATTCAGTAAATTTTGCCAACTCAATTTTGAAAAGATAAACTTACATTTTAAGTAAAAAAACTCTCTTGCCATTCAAATTTCAGTTTCATTTCTTTTCACCTTGTCTCAGCATGATTTTTTTTTCTCTTTTGAAAATCTTTTTATATTTTTTTTTCATTCATTTATTTATTTTTTGTGAGACAAAAATTAAGTTTAATTTTTAGTTATTATTGTTTTCATAATGTTTATTTATTTATTTTTGTTTTTGTGATCTACTCCTGAAGTAAGAATTTTTTTTATTTATTTATTTACCAAGAAAGTTGAATCAATTTCATGATAAGTGCTGTCTAAGTTTTAAGTTCTTCTCATTCTTTTTCCAAGTGCTCAAAACTAAAGACTACCTTTCTTGGTTTTTGGCTGTGAATGCTAAATCAATCACAAAGACACAATCTTCACAAATCAATCTTCCCTCAACTTAAGGGGGCTTTTGCAAAAAAATTGATGTCAAAACTTTCAGAATCTCCAGCATTGGTGCCTCCTATCTTTGTCTTCTAAGATACAACACTTGGTCACTAGACAAGGTTTGAACAAGACCATAATGTCACATGTTTTCTTTTCATAATATTATGTAGGAAACGATTTACGTAACAGGAAGTTTGAAAATCAACTTCTGAATGAGATATTTATAGTATTTTTAACATAAATCAAATGGAACTTATATTTTTTGTCGCTCAACTAATATTAAGTTGTAAGCACTTTTATCTCGTTTAAGGATGGATTTCCAGACGTCCCGTCGTGTAATTAGTTTTTCTTTTAAAATCTTAAAGAGAGAACAGGTTGCCCAGGGCTTTAATTCAAACCCTGTCTATTAGCACATGGCCCATGGTTGTTTGATTCTCTACTTGAAGCTTCCTTGTATTATTGAGAGGTAATTGAAAATATTAGCTCGTGAATTTGTGAGCAGACATCGATTTTTTTTGCAGGGGCTGTTTTAATTTTCCTACTTGCACCAAAAGCATTTTTGGAGAAGAATAGAGGTCCTACAACTTAAACACAACTTAGTACGTCCAAGAATCTCTCAACTTTGCAAAAGACCAATGATGATAATTCACATCGTTATTTATTTATTTATTTTTTTCGTTTTGCTCCAGCTGTTGCAGAAAAGAGACTATCAGGAAAAAGCAACTTGTCTCTTATTTCTTTAGTTCTTGTTTTAAATTGTCTTAACTCTGAATTAGTATGAATGCACAAATGTATCTTTGTATTTTCAACCATTTGAACAAAAAATAGATTTTGCCAAAAGAGTGAATACTTTTTCGATATTTGCACCATTTTCTCTTCAAGTTTCCCATTAAGTTTTTTTTTTTTTTGTTTTATTGATTTTGATGGTATTCTCCACTCGTCATAATTATATCATATTTGGTAATTTTCGGATGTTCTCCTTATGCGTCATTTCAAATTTTGTAAATCTCAGAAATTCTTCCGCTGAAAAACTATTCCCTTTCATGACTTTCTCATTTTTAAATACTTTTTTTTTCCGCAGCATTTTGGCACCTAATATGCATAGTGACATGTGTTGCTCTAAAGTTTCAAATACCTCAAGCTGGGGTAAGAAAAAAGTCGTTCACCGACTGACGTGCCTCTACACAAATATGAATTCACTGTAATTCCAGAAGAGGGAACCTTTTTGGTTCCCCACAAATTTTTAATGCAATATCCTGTATTTTTTAAAAGTTTTATGACCTTTTTTCTATCAATTGATTTGGTAGAGAATGATGCAACAATATCTCTCTTTTCTGCAACTCGCTGGTAGACTTCTAGTAACAAATGTTCCTCTGTCCCCATTGCTTTTATAAGTAACAGTTACACATCCAACAATTATTTCTCTTTAATTTTTGTTATTTTCTGTGCCTTTATCAGATAAAAAATTTATTACTAAAGTGCAATAGCTACAATTTCTATCTCTAAGTTTTCGATGGAAAAAAAGTGAAAACTGATCTATCATTTAAGAATCTTTGTAACAATGGAATGACTAAAAAATAAGCAACGTGAGTAAGATTACCTTATTTGAAAATGTAGAGGGGGAAAATCCCCAACCATGAATGGACATTTAACTTTTTGATGTCTCTCCTTCGTCCATAAAAGGTTTATTTTTTTAATTTACTTATCTTTTATGTGTAAAAAAAAATCGCCATTCAAAGTGTAGACCAGCCACTTATTGGCAGTGTATTTGATTCATTTTGTGTTTTTGTTAATGATTAATATTTTTATTATCATGATATGTTTTTGTTTATATATATCTTTATTAGTTTATTTTTTTATTTTTGTCCTTTCAAACTTGCAGACATCTTGTCTCAAGAGGCCTGTCAACTTGACACCAACATTTTTTGAATAGTCTAAAATCTCAACAAAATCTACAATTTTATTCCATAATTAAGTAGGTATCTAACAGCTAATTTTAACTTGTCAGATTACAGGGATTTAGTCAAAATGCTTACCATTATACCATGCTATTGTTTAGCTAAATAAGAATGTAACTGCTGAAGCCCGCCAGGTTTCATAACTTTTGATTAAAGAATCTTTTGTGACCACTGCATGGTAAGAACACAAAAATATTGAAGTTCCAATAAAATTGTTCTTATTTTCTGTCAGGATCGTAATGCCTCTTAAATTGACTGGTACACCAGTGTCATCAGCAGAACAATTAATACATGAAGCATTTAGGTATGCAATGTTATACATATAGATGGTGAAACTCCCAAACTACGCATCTCAGTTTGCGACTTCCTATCTTACTTTATTTTTTAAATGGTAAACTAATCAATGTCAATTCTCTAAAACATTATGATTTTACTTCTTGGTACAAGGAAATTCGGTGAAAACTCCAAGGAATGATGTTGACTTTTTCGCCTTCAGAAAAGTAAAATAGGATAGGAGATTTTAGAACACTGCAAATGAGATCGGTTCATGTTTGGTAGTTTCACTTTCCATGTGTTCTTCCCCCGGAAGAATATAGTATTTCTTGAAATTGCCGTATGTATGTATAAGGGGGCTGTAATGTCAAACGTTTTTTCATAGTGATAACTGGTAAACAAGTTTTTCTGCCAAATAGTGAAATACCTGTAGGAAAACATTCATTTGCATTGCTTTGTCAAATGTTGTTCCCTGTAATGAATTCTCTGTGAGAAATTTTCTACATGAATAGCAGAAGAGGAAGGCTCATTCCTGAAATTACTTACGGTAGTGGAGGCATCCCATCTGATTTTCATCTTTTGGCAAAGAATTATCGGCCAATTTCACTCTGAAAAGGCTGATTGACTTAGTTGCATATTCATGTGAAATCTAGGCTAAACATATAGCATTAAATTCAATGGCAGTATTTTGATTAATTTCTATAGTAATGCAGTCGAATTTCAAATTTCCAGAAGTTTAGATGATTCATACTGCCGATGTAAGAAAAAATACCGTATGAGCACTCAAAAGTTGCCTAATTTCCATTGATGTTTATTTTTAAGGAGAGTTACAGATATTTTCTCTCGAAATTTTCAGATTTTTTATTGGGAATAAAATTCTCCGACGAACTGGAAGAAAAATATTCTCAGATACTCCTGAAAACTCTTATATTATTGAACTAAATGTGGTAACATTGGAGGACTCATACGACTTTCTATCCTGGCAGGGCAGCATAATTGGAGAGAGTTAAGCAAAACAGTCACATCTACATAACAGTATTTCGAAATCTCATCTCTTATTACAATTTTTGTGGAAGGAAACCAACCAACATTTCCTCTCAAAAATTGCTGCAATTTTTCTTGCCAACATGAAGACTATTTCCACAAAATTTTAAGCAAAAGTGTTGGTAAGTTGCCTTCCAAAAAATCGAAATAGGAGATGAGATTTCGAAACACTGCTATGTAGATGTGACTTTTTTGCTCAACTTAATAGAATTAAGTATGAATCTATAACTTTTTTTTCCTGAACTCTTCTCCTTCTCTTCTTCCTTCTCAAAGGAGTTGTTTATTTTTTACAAAGAATATTTATTGCAAGATTTTCTTCGACCACAACAAACTTTAATACATGTGCTATTACATTACTGGCATCAAATCCCTTTGAATGATAATTTTTCAAGTTAAAATTTGCTGTAGGTATATTCCTACCAAATGACCATCTGTAGTTGTTGTTCACTGAAATTTTAGGCTAAAAAAAATTATTTCAATGGTTCAAAATTTTTCTCCCTCATTTTCGATGAGTTTTGTCGCTTATTTTTTATAATCCTGCAACTCTGTCATTTTTTTCGTAGTGATAGAGGGATTACCTCCCTTTTTACATTTTTTTTGCCCAAATATTTTGGTTCCAGAATTTAGATCTTAACAATAAGAAATTTAATTGGTAGCATGTAGCTCAATGGTATCGAGATGGGCATCTCTATTCTTAAGATCTGAAGGTAGTTTCAATCTTTGATTAGCGAGATTCTCTTTTCAATGCGGCCATTAGGCTACAATTGTGTGTTTTTAAATTTAGCCATCAAAAATTGTAAATTTAAGATTGACACAAAATTTTTCGAAATTTTGGCCACTGTAACAAGTGAAAGTGTAAGAAAGGTAGGAAAAAATAGAAATAAGAATAATCCCATAATTCTTCCTTCCAGTTGTCTCAAAGGTTCATAATTTTCTCTCTGTTTAATGTCCAAAGAATTGTACACTTGCATAAACGCTTTGCAAATAAATTACATATTTATTTTACATCATTCTTTTCTCTGAAACTCTGCATCCTTCTTTTTTTCAATGAAAATAATGACACTATCTCATCTGCCTGTATATTCAATGAACATTTCAAATTTTAAAGGGAATGTCTAATAATGTAACAACAGCGTTGCTTAAGGACACAGGGTTTCCAACAATCTGCAACACCTTGAAAAGTCAGGAAATTCACTGGAAAAATTAAGGAATTTTGTGGGTGGCGCGCCGGCTCAGCAACTTCAGCTGGTCCTTTGAGAGAATGCCTTTTTGCAACTTAAGTGCCTTTTTGCTTCATTTTATTCTCTGCAAGTGGAAATTTTGTCTTTACTTAAGCAAAAGTCAGCGTAAGCCAAAGAAAGAATCCACGTGGAGGTTTTGGTAGAAGGTTATGGAAAGTCAGGGAATTCCAAAAATTGAATAGTTGAAGAAGAAGATTAAATTGAAATGAGTAGAGAAAATTAGAATTGAAAATAGTATCCCTTCCCAGAAATTCTGGGTGGTGAGAAAAGACCTTTGTAAAGGATGATCATCTCTCTGAATGTACAGTCTTAAATGAAAACACCGCACAGCGTGTTCATTCACTCGGTACTTTCTAAAATTTTCATCATGGAAGCCTCAATATGCGTTCAAATAGAGTTAAAATTCCAAAAAAATTCCAGATCTATTGAATGCAACAATTCGAAAGTATTTTTTGCTGAAAGCAAAACAAATAAACATAATTTTTCAACAGAAATTGATGCAAAATCTGCTTCATGGGAGCCTTAAAATGCGTCCAAATTCAGATAAAATTTCAAAAATTTCCCTGAAAAGGCCTCCCAGACCCCCATCTGTACTGGGCATATCCCATTAACCCCCCGAGCAAAATGACCTAGCCACGCCTATGTAAAGCCATAAAGCCTACCCTTGAGAAACAAAGGGAATCACACTGTTACTGTTTTACTTGTACTAAAAATAAAATAAAATAGTAAGTTGAGAAGGGAAATGGAGAGAGGAGAAGGGAAAGAAGGGGAGAAGAACTTCCTAGTATGCTGCCGTGCTAAGAAAAAACGCCGAATGAACATTTGAGAGTTGTCAAATTTCCCTCGTCAAAGTGTTTATTTTTAAAGAAAGCTACTTTTTCCTGAAATTTTCAGAAAATTTAGGAAATAATTCAAACAAAAATATCTGAAAAATTGGAAGGAAAACGTTTACAAATAAGAAATTTTATTTTTCTTTCGAGAAACTGGTCAACATAAAACTTAAATTCTCCATGATTTTTCGTAGGTATTCGATAGCAGAAGATTTGGTTCAAAATTTAAAGTCGTAAATTTGGATTGTTTCTCATGGAAGGGATGAATTAAGAGCGGATGTTTTGAAACACCGCAATGGAGATACGTGGTTTCGCACTTCAGTCGGACCGATACGGACATCCAACAAGCATAAATAGTTGCGTCAAGTCCCCGTCACCGCCGACCAACGCGTTTGTCGATCGAATCAACTACAGGTATTATGCGTAGGAAGTCAAAACGCCCTCAATTTTTTGAACGCAATACGGACATCCGTCGAGGTTGTATAGTTGTATGAAGGTGGCGTAGCAAACGCGTCCCATTGTTTATCGTTACAGACGAATATAAGTTGAGAGAGTCCAGTCATAATGCCTTCAATTTTATACATACATATTTTTTGGCAAAATGAGAGACGACGTTTCACCATTTGCGACGTTGCAGACTTCCTTAATTTTCCCGAATATTCGTGATTTACGAACTGAAATTAGGCAACGCCTGAAGGCCCATACGGCGTTCTTCCTATGCATGGCAGTATGGGTCCCTAGGGCCTAGATGCCCGTCTAGTACATACATACACATACGACTTTACAATGGTACCTAAATCCGGCCCTGATGCCAACACGACGCGACGTTCTTTCCCGAACACCTGGCAATATTGGTCTCCTGAAAAGAGAGATCGTGAAGTCGCGTCCTTATCAGACACATCAAAGCCACCACTGCTGAAAACTATTCTTGAAGATAAAAATAAGTACGCTCCGTGTGTATTTGCTTGAACTTTGTTTTGTTCAAGGCAGGCATTACCTTATCTTAAGATCAGTCGCGCTTTACACTGGGATCCGCACGGGTTGTTGTGTATTTTTACTCCTTTCTGCTCATCTTCTAAAGTCTTAGTTTTTATTTTTCGTCGGCTCTTCTCATTTTTACCGAAGGAGTTATAATCATGGACGCGCCCATCGTAAGTTTTCTTGGCATTTTTTCTCTCCAGAAAATACAGTAAAAGCTCGTTAAGACGAAATACGGTTATGACGAAAATCCGCTTAAGACGAAATTTTTTTCGGTCCCTTGACACTTCCATAAGAGTCAATGGTAAAAAAATATGGATAAGACGAAATTTTGAAATGACCCGTAACCAAAGCCGGATAAGACGAAGAAAAATTTCCGATTTTCCCCCCTGAAATTGGGTAAAAACGACAAAAAAGAGCAATTCTTAGGGGAAATAGACTTAGTTTTACGTGCCTTGACATAAAAAGAGTAGGTTGAGAGTAGATCGTGGGTATCCTCTGTTTTTTTGGATGACTGAGATGCAATCGACAGTTGACGATAAACCGATTTGCGTACCTTAAAAAAATTCAAAATTTGGATTTCGTATTGTATAAAATTTAAAAATTTAAAACTGATAGATAATAATCTTTCTAAAAGTCATTCACTTAAAATAATCTTTAATTTTAGTTTGTGTGGATTTTTAAAGCTGTCCGGATATTAAAACTGCTTCGTCTTTAGCGCAATTGCCGCTTATGCCGAAAAATTTCGTCTTAAGCGGAGAACGGTCAAGACGAAAAGCCGCTTATGACGAAATTTTTTTCGGTCCCCTCATATTTCGTCTTAACGAGCTTTTACTGTATTAAGAGACAAATTCTAACCACCTCAGTATGTGTGTGCGGACCAAATGGACAAATAATATAAATCGTGAGGTATCACTGTATAAATATTTTTGTCGGTCTCTGAATGTGACTTTTTCACAATGGAAAGCTACTCCAGTTCAAGTTGAGTATGAACTTGAATTGATGTAAGCCTGAACTTGAATTTGAGCATGCTGTATAGATAAGACACTGTCATAATGGAGCGAGCTGTCTCTGATCTGAAGGCTTCGCGTCCCACAATACAGAATCGCGTTAATTCTATTTTAACCAAGCGGTTAATTCCTGTGTACTAAATAGCGCGCATTTGTTTCTATCTTGAATGTAAGTGATTTTACATAATAGACTTTGTAGTGAACCTAGGTATCCATTAAGCCGCATTCATAATTATTTTCATCAAATTCCATAAATAAGATGAGGATATACGTCGTATGAGAATTCACAGCTTCTAGGCTATTTGCAATAGACAGTAAGTTGGAGATGTAGCCAACGTGTGTTACTTTACAGAAAACTGATTGCAACTAATTGAAAACTATTTGCAATAGACTTGGAATAGCTACCCACGTTTTTAGCCATTCTCTCTCGTACGCTGATAAGATAAATCATAAAACGACAAATATTTGCATTTTGTTCTACTCCAGTTCATATTCCAGTTGTGATGTGTGCGGTGTGAACATGTAGTTATTCATTTTTTGTGACTGTCAAACGGTGCCCTTTAAGTGTCTCCACTTCAAAGGAGTACTCTTTAATAGGGATGTGCTTATCAAATATCTAAAATTACACAGACGTAACATGCTGATAAATTTTCTTCCAGGTATCCTCAATTTTTTCAAACGGTGACAAGCGATATTAATTAAGCAGTGACCGGAAAATACTGGATATCTATAATTTATCGTTAGGTGAGTGACTTAATTCTATTTCATGCTTACCTATTGTACCTACTTTATTTGCTTATTATTATTTCCTCCTCCGGAAATTCTTGCATGAACAAGTGTTAACACGAGGTTATTAGCGTGCTTGGAAGTATTCTTCTTTGGAATCCCAGATTTTCTCTTTTATGAGATCTTTTAATGTAAATTATTTGCTGTACTTTCACATCCTTTTTGACTGAGCTCCACTTAAGTATAGGCGATTTTCTTTTGTGGTAGTTTCTAACTCGGTCACCAGGCTGCGTCGTGCTGTTTCAGAGAGACAAGACTTTTGAGAAACGAACTATACATTTGGAATGGTAGACAAACGCTGGAACTTGGTAAAATTTTAAAACACATGTGGAGGTCGTATTTTGCCATATTTCAGTTAAAAAATGTAATTATTGTAGCGACAAAAATTAGGATAGGGAGCTTTTTAAGCTGTTCTCTCGAAAAAAATTGAGATCATCAGTCATTCCCGCGAATAATTTCCTCCATGAAGTATTGCCTTAATACACGTCTTGTAGACAGGCATCATGAGATAATGGTGCAAGGTAGGTATAATGGGGAGTCCTCATACTTGGCAAGAAACCACGGGAGACAGATCAACAAATTGAAGCGGCACAATCAAACACACACTGTAAAAAATTTACAAAATACACTAAAAAATACACTGGAAAAAAACACACTGGTGTGTAAGGGTGTATGTATGTGTGTATGTAAGGGTGAGGGGGTGGTTACACTGGTGTAATAAATACACTGGAATATGTCAAAAATTTAGCTGGCTCGCAGTCAACCGGGAAAATATATGATATAACATTGAGTTAAAAGCCAATTAAGCGGTTTAAAAAGGGTCATTTAAATCAGGGCCGGATTTTCCCTCTTGCCGCCCATGCCTGTATTTGCCTTTGCCTGTATTTTGCCGCCCCCTTCTCGTTCGTTTTGAAACATCAATAAAAACCATCAAATGGACGTACCAGCGAGGGAGGGGTGTATAAGACGCGTTTACTCGTGTTGAACACATGTTTGGGGAAAGCCCTGTCAACACTACTAGCAATAGGTCACGGAACTTTGCGCGAAAGTCAAGTTTCGTAAACCTATCTAATGATCAAGGCCTTCCATTCATAAGAAATGAACGAAAAAATTATGAAAGAACGAACACAAGATTTGGTTTAATGATTTTAACTTCCGCCGCCGCGCCGCGCCGCGCCGAACGCACCGTGTTTGGCGCAATGCATGAAGTATTCCGACAGTCTTGTAGGCGCTAGGCGTTTCACGCTGACCGCACTGTGTTTGGCGCAATGCGTGAAGTATTCATGAATTCTGTAGGCGCTATCCGTTTCACGCTTACCACAATGACCGCACTGTGTCTGATGCAATGCGTGAAGTATTCGTGCAGTCTTGTAGGCGCTAATATGTGTTACATGCCGATTGCCGCGCCGAGGGCTTCTCCTTTTCATCTCAAGTCTTCGTCATCAAATCCAGGCCAAATTGCGTATTTGTATGGTTTCTCTCTTAACTCGACTAATTAAAGGTGCTGTCTCTTGTATATCACTGAAAGACGACAAAATCAGAAATTACTATACTCTCAGGAAATGAGAGGTTTTGTATTCTTTTCTCGTTTGTGATTTTTTTTTCTAAATCCAATTTTTTTTATACCTACATTTAAAAAAATTGCAAAATTTGCCGCCCCCTAGATTTGTCGCCATGGGCCCCGGCCCATGTGGCCACCCCCTCAATCCGGTCCTGATTTAAATGGCTTTCAGCTCGATGTTTTATTGTCATTTTCCCTAAATCATAAACAAATAGTTTTACAATTTCAAAATTTTGAACAATAATAGGTCAAGAATGAAAGCGCGAGATGGCAAAATCAAAGCATGGTCGGACAGGGGGAAAAGATATATTTTGATATTCCTCCTAGCAAATCATATAATTGAAAGGATTTTTTTAAGGGGACGCCTAATTGTTATTATTCCACATTCAAAAATATTTTCTGTGAATACATGCAGAAGTTTTTCGTATTGGTAAGACGCGCCTTCATTTCTAAGTGCCTTAATAAGTTAATAATGGCCACCTTTTTCCTCTCTACCTAGATTCGTTAGTATCAGCTGTATTAGGTGAACGGACTATCGAAAAAGCGCCTTCTAACTTCCAGTTAGGCAAAAAATCATGATTACGTTCGGCGCGGATAAATATGGAATGGAGTGGCTCAGTTTGGGCAGTGCCGGATTTTTTGGTCTTATATCACCTACTTACACAAAGTTTCCGTCAAATCGAAAAATCTTAACTCGCCTGTTGATTTTCATGTACATTTTTAGCTGGGAAAACGTCTCTTTTTGAGTAATACATATTCCAAGGCAAACAAACCAAATATGTTGTCCCATCAAACACCTTAATTTTTTTGAACCTTTCCCTTCAGCCGCAAAACATGTATTGCTAAAAACGGAATGAGGATACACCCATTTACAGGTAGATGCTGATATGAGCAGATTCGGGTGAAACTTGGCATAGGTATTTTTTGGTCAAATGGATCAAGTTTAAGGAGTAAAACTTGAAAAAAATCCCTTTGAAACACTTTCCTATGTTTGACATGCCTTGGGAGTTGACAACAGCATATGACTCTGATTACTGATTTTTTAAATTATTCAATCTTTATGTTCATTTGTACACTGTAAAGCTCACTCATCCCATTCCACCCACAAATTTCCCATCATCAAGCACATAATCATCACATCCACCCATCATCATTGACAATAAGTTAAGAAAAAATGCCTCAAAAATGTCGAGGCATTCTGTAACACTACCTAATAATGTAAAATAATTGTTTATATTTCTCGTTGAAAAGGTAACAAAAATTTAAAAAAAAAAAAAAAAAAAAAAAAAAAAAAAAAAAAAAAAAAATGTCTGACAGGGTCACTCTAATGCACCGAAGCGTACCAAATTCCGCTCTAATCTTGGATTTCACCTGGATTACGAGATAGTTACCCCTGGTGTTATATGTATTTAACAAGATAAATACCCACAGTGACGCACAGAGACTCTCACGTCTTTTTTCCCCCTCAATGATTGCAATGTAATATTTGTTACCTATTGAGGAGTTGAGCCAGTTCTTTTTTCCAAGCGGTCAGCTGATAGTGGGTGCTTTTAGTTTTTAATCCGCGACCAGAGCTCTAGAATATTCGTATGAGTATTGCTGCGTTTCATTTGCATACCAATTCATCAGTGATTAGAAAATTGAGGAGATATCAGCGTTCCATAACCGAATGCTTTTAATGTCAAAGAGTGGATGATATAAACCATTTCCCTAAAATTTACTCCTCTAGGGATAATGTACTTAGTCTCTCTCTCTCTCTAAAAAAAAAAAAAAAAAAAAATTATTGAAGGGTGCCTAAAGGTTTAACAGCATGGCCAAACCCTAAGAGGTTTTAAGAGTGTTTCCCTTTTTTTCTTTTAAGAAAGGCGTTTTTTTACTGGTGAAAAAATTGGCATGTTTTCTTTTAAAAGATGTCTTTGACTCACTAACCTCTATGAGCCTCTCTAATACACGCATATTTTGACGTATTTCTACCATACAGAACTGTATGCGGGTGGGAAAGATAGGGTAGTTCGCGGTGAACTGGATATGAAATATTATAATAGTGGACGGAAAAGAGGGATTTTAAATTCAACAAACGGAACTATTTGCCGACTGTATGCGCCAACTCAAGAGCCTCGGCCTTGGGAAAACAGCGTTGTGGACAAGGCTCATGAGTTGAAGACCACCACGGAGAACTGCGGCGGCGGCTTCGTTGCCACTGACGTCACTGGCGCTTCATGATTCCCATTCATTCTTACCGCCCGAGAACTAACAAGCACACCCCATATTTCCCAGCCGCGCATACTTCTGTTTGGTAGAAATGTCGAAGGCAAATAGTCAAATGAGGACTTTTGTCAAATGCCTAGGTAGATAGTCAAATATTCTTACCACGATTGAAATTTTGATTTTTTACCCTCATTTTAGACAAAATAATTCGTTGCTCCTGTAAGAAGGAATTTTCTGTAAAAATATGCAGCATACAATAGTATTTTAAACAATTTTAAGATCCTGAATGCACATTTCTAACGACATTGTCAGCACGTCATGAAACATAGAATTTTTAATATTTTAACATTTAAATGTACGAAAGGCATGTAAATAGGAAGGAAAAAGGAGAGTTCGCGGATTTGAAGAATCATTCTTTCCAAAATATTGAAAACCCATGAACTCCTAGCCATTTTACGACTTTAAATTTTGAACCAAATCTTCTGCTTTGGAATACGAAAAATCATGGAGAATTTAAGTTTTAAGTTGACCAGTTTCTCGAAAGAAAAATAAAATTTCTAAGGAAGTCTGCAACATCGCAAATGGAAAAACGTCGTCTCTCATTTTGCCCGAAAATAAGTACGTATAAAATTGAAGGCATTATGACTGGCCTCTCTCAACTTGTATTCGTCTGTAACGATGAACAATGGGACGCGTTTGCTACGACGCCTTGATACAACTATACAATGTCGATGGATGTCCGTATTGCGTTCAAAAAATTGAAGGCGTATTGACTTCCTACGCGTAATACCTGTAGTTGATTCGGTCGACAAACGCGTTGGTCGGCGGTGACGGGGACTTGATGCAACTATTTAAGGTGGTTGGATGTCCGTATCGGTCCGACTGAAGTGCGAAACCACGTATATCCATTGCGGTGTTTCAAAATTTCCGTTCTTAATTCATCTCTTCCATGAGAAACAATTCATTTACAGAATTCCGTAAATTGTCAAAATTTGACTACCGGCCTAGGCATTTGATAAAATGCCTGAATTGACTAACTGTCTTCGACAGAAATTCGTCCATTTGAGCTTCCCGCTTGTTTCATTTTTATTCTTATGTTGGTTTCAGATTTCAAACGGAGATCATGAGGCTCATCCTAACATTAAGTCTGGCTCTCCTTATCCAGGCATCGCTCTTGAAAGCCGAAGAACCCCTGGACTGGTGGCAGAGCGGCGTCATCTACCAAATCTACCCGCGCTCCTTCAAAGACAGCGACGGCGATGGGGTCGGCGACCTGAACGGCATCACCGAAAAAATCGACTACCTGAAAGACCTCGGCATCACCGCCATCTGGATCTCGCCCTTCTTCACATCCCCGATGGCGGACTTCGGCTACGACATCTCCGACTACCGGAACATCGAACCGCTCTTCGGGACGATGGACGACTTCGACAAACTGAAAACCGCCGTGCACTCCCACGGGATGAAACTCATCCTGGACTTCGTGCCAAACCACTCGAGTGACGAACACGCGTGGTTCCAGAGCTCCGTCCAGAAAATCCCCCCTTACACGGACTACTACGTGTGGCGAGACGCGGTGATGGTCGACGGAGTCCGGCATCCACCGAACAACTGGGTGAGCTTCTTCGGCGGATCGGCTTGGACCTGGAACGACGATCGCCAACAGTACTACTTACACCAGTTCCACCACAAGCAACCCGACCTCAACTACCGCAATCCGCTCGTCGTCAAAGAGATGAAAGACGTCCTGAGATTCTGGTTGGACAAGGGCGTCGACGGCTTCCGGATGGACGCCGTTCACACCATGTTCGAAGACACTCAACTTTTGGACGAGCCACGATCTTTCAAGGTCGGCTTCGTAGCCACAGACCACGAATACTACGACCATAAATACACGCTCGACCAACCAGAGACCTTCGACATGATCTACCAGTTCCGGGAGGTCTTGGATAGTTACTCGAGTTCGGCCCGGCCGCAGGCAACCCAGGACGACGACTTCGACGAGGTGACGTCACTGATGACGCGCCACGTCGGGACGCGCTTCATGACGACAGAGGCCTACTCCCCGATCTCCGACGTCATGCGGTACTACGGGAACGCGACGGTGGACGGGGCCCACTTCCCCTTCAACTTCCTCTTCATCACGGATCTGAACCGGCAGTCCGACGCGTACGACTTCGAGAAGACGATCCACTCGTGGTACCTGAACATGCCCGAGGGGAAGTGGGCAAATTGGGTGATCGGCAACCATGACGTTCACCGTGTCGCATCTCGGTTCGGCGAGGAGCTAGTTGACGGCATCCATATGATCCAGTTCCTGTTACCGGGCACCGTCTTCACGTACATGGGCGACGAGCTGGCCATGGAGGACACCTTCATCCGCTGGGACGAGACCGTGGACCCGCCGGGGCTCAACGCCGGGAAGGACAGGTATGTCCAGTTCTCTCGGGACCCGGAGCGGTCGCCCTTCTTGTGGGACGGGTCCGTGAGTGCAGGGTTCTCGACGAGCAAGGATACCTGGCTCCCGGTGCATCCGGGCTACGCGGAGAGGAACCACGAGAGGCAGGCGGCTGAGCCGAAGAGCCATTTTAAGGTTTATAGGAGGTTGGTCGACTTGAAGAAACACGATGTGGTGAAGTACGGGGAGCTGGCTGTCAAGGTGCCTGCCGATTGGGTGATCCTGGTTGTGAGGACGTACGGCGAGGAGTTCTTCTTGACTGTTGTCAACCTTGGGAGTCACTTTGAGACTTTGGATCTGAGGAAGCTTGAGATTCCGTCCGCGTCCAAGTTAGTTGTGTATGTATCGAGTATGAATTCGGTCTACGATGAGGGTGATAGTGTTTCTTTTGAGGAGGTGCATCTCCGACCCAAGGCTGCACTAGTTTTAACAAATGTAGTGTCATAATAGGCGAAAACAATTTATCGCCACCTTCTGGCCAAAGTATCACAAGCGTAATGCGACGTTTCCGAATTTGTGCCGCCATTTTAGTTTTTCTACAGAAAAAGTTTTCAACGAAGCTGTCCGAAAATTTCACTGAATTTTCTCTGTGCTGCCAATAAAATTCAGTGAAATTTTCAAACAGATTTAACCAACAATTTCTCTTTAAAAAAATAAAACGACGGCGGAAATTTTTAAACGTCGTATGGCGCTTGCGATGCTTTGGTCGGAGGGTTACGTTTTCTTGAGAGGTAAAAAGATCTCTATTAAATTTTTTAATGTTTAAGCGTTTGTGCGACTCCTCAGAAATTGTAAGATGTATCCCACGCAATTGTTTTTTCAATGGTGCTTTGTTAAAATGTGCTAATTAAAAAATGTATCCTTGAAATGTCAATGGACACTCACTGTAGTGTAATTTTCTCGAAATTATTAAAGTTTAAATGTGAGGTCTCTATTGTAAATAATGCTTACATCAATTTTATGTCCGAAAAAAACCGTGCTAGATCGTTTGGAGTTTTGAATGCTTGATTAACTTTTCTCTGCACTCAATACTGAAAGTCTGTGTAGAAGGATTTCATAATTTTTCCGAGTATTTGTGACTGTATCGGACAAAGCAAGCTATAACTGTAAAAAATTCGTATTCGTAATAAGGATCTTATCAAAATGTTAAGAGATTTTCCGCATCTTAATGTATCATAAATCTCGTTTGAGTTGAAGCAAACAACAAATTAATTTAATAATTACAAACAAACAAATTAATTGTATTGAACCGATTTGATGTTCACATCTCTCTCGTTCTAGAGAGGAGTTAGAGAAATGTTTTACGATAAAAATTGTGATGAAAACATGGGGAAAAGGGAGACTGAAGTTCATGTGTCACAACTAAACCAAAAAAAGGCAAACACAGCAAAATTCTTTCTCATCATCTTTTTGTTGTAATAAAGTTCAAGAAAATTTTCACAAATCGTGTCACACATTTGTTCTTAATTCTAATTATAATAATCGCACGGTATAAAATATGGTAACAAATTCCCAAGTCGCATAACGCAAAAATAAAATTGAAGTATCAATTGTAATTTCTTACCGCATATTTGAAATATTTTTATGTCTTGTGGGCAATTGATGCCCGTTTTAAACATTTAATAAAAGGAGCTTTATGTGAATCAGAGGGAGCAACATGGAATGCGAAGAAAAATAGCAAATTCTTTCAATTTTATCCAGAAAATCTCGATAGCTCCTTCCTTAAACAATGAAGCGTTGATGAGGTGGCAGCGAATGCATGCGAAAATAATACTGAAGTAAACACCAGGGGTCAGATACAACTATTTCAACTTTTGAGTAGTGCGGGGTCCGCCCAAAGTGAAGGCGCTATTTATAGGAACATTTTTTTACAACGCAGCTAACAAGACACAGTGTGCAAACTTTCCATGTTAATTATCTTTCAAAGCTACTTTCATCAGTTATGATACCCGAATATCATCGCTTCCACCGCGTCACAGAAGAATCTTGAGTTTTTGACCAGAAATATCTGTGAGTTTGGTAATCATGGGATCTCGCAAAAACTTAATCATTGCGGATATTGATGTAAGGCTTTTGAGGCTCTCGAGAAAGAACAAAATCGTGAATGGAAATGGAAATTCCTCGTTGCTCAGTATGTTGTGAGTGAGGACAAGCGTTTATAAGGGTGTGTGTGCTGATGTGTTCTTCATTTAAAATATTTTGGACAAGGAAACACATAGTTCAACATCCTTATAGTAGGTGAGTCAACATTTGAATGTTGGAATCCAGAAAATCAAAGCTTTCACCATTGCCAAGATAGGAATGGAGGGTCTCTTGCCTCAACGGGCCGATTATTGAAATCGATAGACAAAGCTATCGACACTAAAGACAATCAGGATATGGTGGGATCCTATTGGTGGAAGCAAGTACTTAGTAGCAATAGACAAAGGAGGTATACCTAATGGACTAACTAATGTCAACCGACAAGAGACCCGACAATTGGTTCAGCACTTTCCCCCCATAGTATGTAAGAACCACCAGCAGGCTGATTGTTAAAATTGATAGACAAAGCTCTACACAAAGAGGACATAGGGAGTACGGAGCGATCCTATTGATTGAAATGGTGGTTCTTATGGACTAAGGGAGAAAATGATGGATTAACTAGAGGGTCTCTCGTGGGTTGCCGTCAGTTCTGCCCTGCTAAGGAAGAACGTCGTATGAACATTCGAGAGTTGTCAAATTTCCGCGGATAAAACATGTATCTTTGACGAAATTTACCCATATTTTTCCTTGAAATTTCCAGATATTATTGATCGAATTGTGAACAAAATAGTCTGAAAAATGAAAAGAAAAATATTTACAACCTCCCCTATATTTCGAAAATCATCAGAGGAAATGTGGCAACATGGCAAGGTTCATACGGCTTCTTTCCATATAGCATGGAAGAGTTAGTCTATCACCTACCTCCTTCGTCCATCGCAACCACCCGCTTACACCAATCGGATCCCCTAATAGCCCTTTTATCTAATTTGGACTGCATTTTGCAATTTGGAACTATGAATTCTGGCCCGGTTTAAAACGACGTATGTGCCATCAGTTTCCCTTTGCACATAAGTGTTTTTCCAGAAAAGCCAGAATTTATAGTTCCAAATTGCAAAATGCAGTCCTATTGTCAATCACTTTGTTTAAGAATTTCAACACTCAGCGTGGAGTTGCTATCTCGAGGATTGCTACATACTCACCAGGTCTTCTTCGTTATATCTTTAATTATAGCTTTGTATATAGCTTTGTCTATAGCTTTGTCTATAGCTTTGTCTATAGTTTTGTCTATAGTTTTGTCTATAACTTTGTCTATCAATTTCAATAATCAGGACTCTCCGAGCATGGTTCATGGTAGATCCCTCAAGGGATCTCAATGGCAATAGCGATACCCATACCGCCGCCAATGCAGAGACTAGCAACCCCCTTGCGACCGCCGGTCCGCTGGAGGGCGTGGATGAGGGTGACGAGGACGCGGGTGCCGGAGGCGCCGAGGGGGTGTCCGAGGGCGATGGCGCCACCGTGGACGTTGACCTTGGCCGGGTCCACCCCGAGCCCCCGGTTGACGGACAAGGCCTGGGCGGCCGCGGCCTCGTTGAGCTCGAAGAGGTCCACTTCTTGGAGGGTCCAGCCGACCTTGGCCAGGAGGTTCTCCACGGCCGGGATCGGGCCTGTGCCCATGAGCGCCGGGCTCACGCCGCCGGTCGCCAAGCCCACGATCTTGGCCAGCACCTGGGTTCCGCGCGCCTCCGCTGTCGCCCGGCTCATCAGCACCACCGCTGCCGCCCCGTCGTTGAGGCCCGAGGCGTTGCCTGGCGTTACCGTCCCGTCCTGTAACAGAGTCATGCCAATGGGCGATCAGATGAGAATCCATCTAGCACAGAGTGACAAAAATATAAAATGGACCACTAGACAAGGTACGATTTTCAGCATTCTGCTACATGTTTCGTAAATAAAATTTCACGTAGAACACGATGCGCACAACAAAAATTACCGCGATTAACTCCTTACGAAGATATTTAATAGTTCTTGATGCGTGAATTCAAACCACCCGCTCATAAAAAACTCAATGCTCTACGTGATTCACATCGCGCGCTAAACGTTATCATTACAGTCTCTGCGATATAAAAATCTGGCAACCTCAATTTTGACGCTTTGGCTCAGCTGTGGCAAATTGCTAATAGTTTGAACAATACATGGTGGGTATAATGAACATTCCTCGATTGAGAAGCTTGCTGAAACCGTTGTAGTGCGCGATTTGACTCACGTAGAGCTTTGAGTTTCTTGTCAGCGGGCAGTTCAAATTCCTCGTGACCATTGCGAAGTAAAAACGTTAATATCTTCGTTAGGAGTTGGTTTCAGTAATTTTCGTTGTGTGAATCGTGTTCTACGTAAAATTTTGGTTAAGAAACATGTATCAGATTGCTTAAATTCGTACCTTGTCTAGTGGTCCATTGCAATTTAGTGCAATAAAATACACCACACTGGAGAAAAAAAAAAAAAAAAAAAAAAAAAAAAAAAAAAAAAAAAACACACACACATTGGATCTAGTGTCCAGACTCTTAAAAACATCGACAAGAAAAAGTACTCTTGATTCAATCAGAATCTAGCTTGAATCAAGAACCAAGCCTCTTAATTTAAGCGGATTTCGTTTTGATTCAAGCAAAAATCCGATAAAATCAAGAGTATTTTTTCTTGTCAATGTTTTCAAGAGTCTGGACTCTAGAGACAGGAGCCATCGAAAAAGTGCGCTAAAACACGGTGATTATACCATGAGTATCTTATTTGAAAATTTGGACCCTGTAAAATGTTTTACTCAGCGTGAAGTTACCACTTGGCAAACAGTGGTTGACGGTAATAATGGCGCCTACAAACCTAACAGGGATACTGCATGCATTGCGCAATGAGTGAAGTATCCCTGTTAGGTTTGTAGGCGCCAATGCAACTATTCCACCACGAAAGTATTGCACGGTATCAAATGTAATTGAAGGCGCACTAACGTATGAAACTTTACTGTTACCGTCAAGGTGTCAGGGGGTATTTTTTAACGAGGAACTTGAATCTCAACTCAAATTTTTAAAATTCAAAAATTCAAAATGGCAGAAATTGCCAAAAATGTTATCTTGAGACTTTCAAAATGTAAGACGGTTGACTGCCTGACCGGTCAGGCAGTAATGTAACTTCACGCCGAGTAAAACATTTTACAGGGTCCAAATTTTCAAAAAAGATACTCATGGTATAATCACCGTGTTTTAGCGCACTTTTTCGATGGCTCCTAAGTTTTTTTTTTTTAGGTCTAGGGAGATGATATTGAAATAAGTCGAAATTCACGATTTTGCTCAGAAAAACGGCAACGTCGTAGCCAGTCAAAATTATCAGAAGGGGAGCATTGGGAGCATCTCAGCTACTAATTTCACACTCTGATTACAATTTAGGCATCTGTAACGTTAATTTATCGAGAGGGAAAAATCATCAAAAACAGTAAAAAATTCGCTATTTTCATGCTTGAAAATGGCAACCGCGTGTCGGGTCAAAAGCATGGAGGGGTTCCAAAACTTCACTAGGGTGTAGTTTATGAACTAATTTTGCCCTCTGTTTAGTTTGTAGACCCCTCCGACTTTATTTTTTGGGATCGAAAAATTACTGAAAAACAGTAAAAATTCGCTATTTTTGCGGGGATAAATGGCAATTGCGCGTCGGGTTAATTTTGTCCGATTGACCCCAAATTTCATTCTCCGTGTTTTTGAACATGCTGTAACCGATTTAGGGGGTTACGGCTATAAATTTCCGAGATTCATTTTTTGTGGGCCACCCTACTCTAGATCCAATGTGTTTTTTTTCCAAAGCACTAAACGAGGTACGAATTTAAGCATTCTGATACATGTTTCTGAACCAGAATTTCACGTAGAACACGATTCATTCATAGAAATCACTGAAATCAACTCCTAACTGAGATATTAACGTTTTCATTCTACATTGGTCACGGGAATTTTGAATTGCCCGAAACAATATTTTTACATAATGTGCTCGATAATCCCAATTCTAAACCATTAATGAAATGAGTTTCATCAGTGAGAAAGATGGGAATTTGCAATGCAAAAAATTACAACTTATTTCAATTGTATCGCAATACATTTCAATAAGAGAAGCCCCTTCAATTAGAGAAGCGGCAACTTACGCAACACTTCGATACAGTGGCAATGCTAGATGGGAATTAAATAATTAATAAGCTATTGCACACCGCCATCAGCGTATTTAGGTTTTTTGAAGATTTTTTTTGGCGTTGGCGATTTGCCATTCTTTTTTAATTCGACCATCCAATTTATTTAAGGAATTAGAGCATCAAATTTTAAATTTTTCGACTTTCAGAATTTCTTTAAATTTCCGACTTTTTCCGACTTTGTTCTTTAAATTTGTTTATTTTTCCGACTTTTTAAATTTTCAGAAGCTTCAAGAGCCCTAAACTCGCTAAAAATTACTTCACGAGAGCCGCGGCGCTGATGCTATAATTGCTTATACATCAGTATTCATGAAGTTAGAGTTCATTTACATTTTCAATACTTTTCGGACCAATAGAGAGTGTAACAGGCTGTCTATATTGCTTCTTTTTATTTTAACATAATATTCTGTCTACTAGTTTACTTACTTTTAAGAAAACTGGTTTTAGTTGAGCGAGAGACTCGAGTGTGAGACCGTGCTTCGGGAACTCGTCCTCCGAAAATATTTTCTCCTCCCTCTTAACTTTAATCGGCACGGGGACGATTTCCTTCTCGAAGTACCCATTTTTCTGCGCGACTTCTGCTCTTCTTTGACTCTCAAGAGCGAACCGATCCTGGTCCTCTCTCGATATTTTATGCTTCTCGGCGATATTTTCCGCTGGAAACAATAAAATTTCATTCGATAATAATTATCAGATTATACAGACGTTATAGAAAAGGAACTATGGATAGTAAATAAAAAAAATAGAAAATTTGTGACAGAATGGACACAATGGGAGTGGATTGAAATAAAAATTATTTATAAAATAGATGGATTTTCATCAGAAGATTTACATAATTACTAATTTCAACTTTATGAAATTTTTCTTTAACAATGCATGGTACATTTTTAATCCTAAGTTATATTTTATAATTAAAATGAGCGATATTTCGGTTTTATCGTCCACGTTTGCATTGAAAATTTTAGCAAAAGCTAGAATCCTCTCATTGGCACCAGCATGAATATTTCTGACCTATAAACATTAATCAGTTTCAGCGTGAAGGCATAGAGCCACTCAATGAGACATTTTTGCAACAAAAGGAGACAATGTGACCCCAAAATTTGGAAAAAGTACAGTTGGCCCACCTACAATGTGCTAAGAAAAAAATACAAATCTCGAAAAATTTTAAAAAGTCTCCAAGAGGAACATGACCGAAATTTCAGAATAATGACTTTAAAATGTAGCACTTATTTCCTAAAGATTTTGCACGGAGATTTTATCACTGATCTCCCCTCGATACTATTCCCCTTTAACGTGCGTCTAAGGTAATTTTACCCATCGATGGATCATACGACTGAAAAAAAGGTATACTTTGTTGACGAGTCACGCAACAGAGATTGTAACCTGATCCTGGAACCTGCGTGCGTAAGATGAACAAAGATGATCAACATGTGATCAGAGGAAGAAGCTTATTCATTCAAAGGATAAATTAGACTGCATTTTGCAATTTGGAACTATAATTTCTGGCTCAGTTTAGAAACAACGTATGTGCAATTAGTTTACCTCTTCACGTAAGTGTTTCTACAGATGAGCCAGAAATTATAGTGCCAAATTGCAAAATGTAGTCTAATTTATTTGCGTTACGTTCGTCTGTAACGTTTGGAGAACGTGCAAAGAAATCAATCTGAATTTCTTTCAACCGATTGTACTTAAACAAGAAGACCCTTTGTTTAATATAGAGGAATATTCTTCTTCGACTTCCTTAGGTGATCTTCTCGAGCGATGTTGGTGCTCTTGCGGGACGCATCTTCACCGCTTAGCGAGACGAAATCCTGTATTTACCGACTTTCACATACCAAGACACGATCGTTAACACGCACTAACACACTCTCTGAACGCACACATACCGCGCTGCGTTGACACAATTTAGGTACCGTCCTTCAACCTAAATTGGATGGAGCGTTCATTGATCTCGAAGGTATGGGTAGAATTTTTGCGTTTCAAAAGGACATGCTTTCTAAAATGTTGAAGATTCTCGATTTATTTTAAAGGTCTCTACGCAGCGGTGAATAAGGACTTTTCAAGAATTTTGTAAAATTTTTATGAAAAATCCATCGTTAAAAAGACCTTTTAAAGTGTAAAAACATATTGTCACCTTAACTGAACTCCTGACTCTTAAAATTCGTTCTTGAAAAAAAAAAATTATTCTCATTATAAAGGAATATCTTGTCGGTTAAAGTGCGAAACCACATATTTCCATCGCAGCGTTGTAAAAGTCCGCTCCTTTCTTATTTTCTCGACGAGAAACAAGCCATCTACAAAGCTTGAAATTTTTACAGAATATCTCCATCACAGAGAAGAGAAATCAACTAAGTTTTGGAGACATTAAGTCGACTAGTTTTCCAAGGAGGCAATAAAGTATGACAGGAAATTTGCGACGTCACAAACGGAGATACATGGTTCTGCACTTCGGCCATCGATCTATAAAACATTTTGTTTTTGGACATATTTTAAAAAAATTCTTTCAGCGTCATTGTGCCATCCTGCCGTGCCAAGGAAAAACGGCCGCCGTATGAACATTTGGACGTTGTCAAATAATGATCAGTAAAATATTTGTTTTGGGGAAAATTAAAAATATTTTCCTTCAAAATTTAAAAATTCTATGAATTAAATTGCGTCTAAAATTCCCTGAGAAAATTGAAAGATAAACATGGGCCAAAATCCCTGAATTTTTTTTTTCGGTAGGAGTATAGATTATGGTCAAAGGCTCGTATGGCATTCTCCCTCAGTACGGCAGTATTCTGCCATTCAAAGTTAAAGCGCCGTATCTCCATTTGACGCTTTCTTAATTTCTTTCTGACAAAATTCTGTTTTCCTAAAAGCTAACAAATATTTATCCCTCATTTTTCCGATAAAACTCTGGCGGTACACGGACTTTATGTCCACTTTTTTTACGTCCACAGACTTTTCGTCCACAATTTTTACTTCCACAGTTCTAAAGCCCACACTAGTGTTAAGTCCATTACTTAAACGTCCACTAAGTTAAGTCCACAAATGTAAAGTCCACTAAAATCAAATTCAAGCGTCATATTTTAGTCCGTGTGTAAAATTATATTGACAATATCGAAATGAGAAAATTAAGAGAGAATGAGGTGTTGTTATCGTAACTCATATTTGAGATGAAATGTTAATTTCTTCTTTTGATTCATCTTTTCAAATTGTCTTTGGTAAATACTTGGTTTCATTTCTATCCTTGAAATTTCCGATATAAAATTTGCCTTTAATGTACATTCTTTTTTTTTTAAATGAAACTGATTATTTCATTTTAAAAACATTTACATTCTTAAAACGTGGTAAATATTTGTGAAACCTTTTCCAAGCAATGGCATCGATATGAATCTCAATGAGCCGTAGTTGTGATGAAAGAAACTATACAAAAAATAATAAAAGAGGAAAAAAACTAAGAAGCACGCAATTTTTTGTTTTTAACTTATTTGTACATAGACCTCCTTGAGTCAAATACGTCCAATTTTGAGCGTTTAGTTGCGCTAACACTATTATATTTACAAAAAACACATTATATTTTCCAGTAGTACATATTTCTTTTTCATCAGTTTAAAAGGGAATAATCAATGCAGAGAGTGCAAACATTTCAAAATCATGAGTTGAAAGACGCTGACTCCGCGAGTTTAAATATTAGAGCCTAACACAGAGCGGAGCGGCGTGTTAGCAGCGCAGAACGCGCACTGGCGCCTACAAACCTAACAGGATACTTCACGCATTGCGCAACGCGTGAAGTATCCCGTTAGGTTTGTAGGCGCCTATGCGCGTGTCAGGCTGGTTGCCTGCCGCGCCGCAACGCTTTAAGCAACTATTTCGCGTCAGAGGCATTGCACAGTATCCTACAAGATTGAAGGCGCACGAAATAACTAGTTAAAGAGGACTTTTAATTTTGACTGCATCTGTTACTGAAAAATGTTTAATTTGGCATTGGAGCGTTTCCTAGGCTCCCGCTTTGGTTTTCATCTTATCATATCCGTACAGTGTACACATGAACAATTGAACATATGTTTTTATCTGCTCTTAGAGTCTGTTCTCTTTCATGACTTGATTCATGGATGAAATGTTTTTAAGAATGAAGGTTGTAGTAGTATGCATTTATTTTTGAGGTGGTTCCTGTCATTTAAATGAGAAGAAAAAAATGTGGACATAACATTTCCACAATTTGGACAATTCATGGTTGGACATTAAATCATGTGGACTTAATAAAGACCGGACTTAACGTTTAATAGGACATTAATAGCGGTGGACATTTATTTAATGGACGAAAGGTAGGTGGACATAAACACTGAAAAAAAGTATATGCTGTTTTAGCATCTAGGGTGTCAAAAATGTGTCTGGTGTTCCAAAGATGTTGCCTTTACTGCCTTCGCAGTTAACTTTACATCCTGTGAATGCAAATTCAACTGCGTAGGCAATCAAGGCAACATCCTAGGATCACCAGACACATTTTTGACATTCTAAGTGCTAAAACAGCATACCATTTTTTTCAGTGAAGTCCTGGAAGCACTCTGGCACACCATTAGGAATCCAAAACGAAAAAATGAAGCCTTGGGGCAATTGCATTTTCTCGCGATAGAGCAGTACGTGCTGGGAAAAAGGAAGAAATTGGATTGGAGTTACGGGGTTTTTGCTGAGAACGGGAGTATTAGAGAAAGTTGAAAGCGCGAGTGGTTTGTGAGGGAGATGGACTTACATGTGATGACCATGTGGATGTTTTCGAAGGCGTCGGTGAGTCCGTCGTGGATCATGGTATCGACGAGCTCGGCGTTGAAGAGCCGCTTGCCGGCCCGCATGTGGATGGCGTGAGGGGCTTGGCTCATGCTTTCTTGCCCTCCGGCCACGACGATGGACGCCTCCCCGGTCTTGATCGCTGTGTACCCGCACGCTATCGACCTGCCGTAACACACATACCGATTACACATATTGCGATATATCGATTGATCGGCCATTTAAACCTATGGAAAACCTATGATCGCCGTGTACCCGTACCATAGAGCACATAGAGTCGTAATGTAAGTGGGAGAGCTGGCGCCACTTTTAAGCATTTTCCATGTCCCGAATTCCGAGACTCCTGTGTGACGCCGGGTCACTTGTTCGATACATAATCGATTGTTTGCGATACACGGGTACCCGGCCATCCGATGACAACAACAACAACAACAACAAAGGAGATAGGAATTACCACGTATTCCACACCGCCATTTTGGATCGAAAATGTATCGAAAAAGCGACCCGAACTCGGCGCACACCGGGCTCGGAATTCGTCGAGCAGAACATGGCGCCAGCTCTTCCACTTACATTACGACTCTATGTGCTCTATGACGTGCACGCTATCGACCTGCCGTAACACACATATCGATTACACATATTGCGATATATCTATTGATCGGTCATTTAAACCTATGGAAAAGTATCGATGAACAGCAGCCTGATTGTTGAAATTTTTTGTTTGTCGAGACGACATAGATGACATAGGTTAAAAGGCGGAGTGTGATTGGTCGGCTATGTCTTATCGCTGCTTTGTCGTGCCTTTGTCAGGTGGAATGGACGACATACTGTCGGAAACTTAAGAGGTGCTGTTAGCTTGTCGTGAGTTCAACCCGACATAGGCACGACAAAGCAGCGATAAGACATAGCCGACCAATCACGCTTCGCCTTTTAACCTATGTCATCTATGTCGTCCCGACAAACAAAAAGTTTTAACCATCAGGCTGCAGGGTGTTGGCAGCGAACACCTTAATAATCGATTATTTACCACAGCTTCAAATGGGGGAATATCGATAGACCGCAAAGCACGCCACGCCACTGAGCATATGTACTATAATGGCTTCTGAAATTTTTTCAAAGAGAGTAAAACATTTTTGTTGACAAAAATTGAGAAGAATGGGATTTAGAATTTCCAAAACTTTGGGCTGGAAATTTCAGAAACCTCCGAAAGCAGGTTTAAATGGACTGTGAATACATACGTGCCCAGTGAGAGGTTGGCGACAGGGGGTGTTGAGTGAGATGAGGGAGTGTCAACTCCCTGATGACCTGTGGGAAGACCGAGCTTTGTGGCGATTAGGCGTCGTAGAGCGCCAAAGAGCGCTATAAAAGCGACTCATATGTATGTAATACATAGTAAAAAATTATCGCTACTGTATTGGAGTGTTGTGTGCGTTGCCATTCTACTAATTGAAGGGACTCCTCTTATCAAAATTTCGTCACCTTCGTGGCATGGAGGGGCATACTTAGATCATGTGGTAAAGTTTTATTTATTTCCCTCACCCTCTTCCCAAATTGAGTGATATACATACATACATAAAAGCCGCTTTCATAGCGCCGCTCTGCGGCATCCAGCCGCCAACGTACACGGTACACCACCTTCCAAAAGCTCCAACCACTAACCTATCTAACGCCGAAGAATAGTTCTGCCGTGCTAAGGAAGAACGCTGTTTGTACATTCAAGAGTTGCAGAATTTCCTTCGATAAAATGTTTATTTTTGAGGAAAATTATCAATATTTTTCCGATAAATTTTCAAGAACTTTAGGTAAAATTGTGAGCAAAATTACCTGAAAAATTGGAAGAAAAATATTTACAGTTTTCCCGAAAATTTGTGATTTACCGCCAGAAAGTTGGCAACGCCTGAAGGCTCATACGGTGTTTTTCCTGAGCACGGCAGAGTTGAATTCCAAACATAGATCAGTGACGGATATGAGTCTGTGACGCGAACGTCCGTATTCATAAATTATTTCCGTCAGGACGCAGCTCCAGACTGCATACAAGTTCATGACCTGGTGCGCGAGTATAACAGTTAAACCGGTTTGAGAACCAATTTTTCGTCCCCGCTCAGGTCTTGAGTTTAGGAACTTATACTCTGGAGAATGATAGAGGGCTATTTAGAGTCAACTAGCGCGGCAACCCGCGAGCAGCTAGCAGCGATGGTAAGAATGTCTTGGCAGAACCTCTTTTTTCCTGATTTTCCTGATTTCACTGCCAGCCTCTACGCTTCGCAACTTCATTATGAATGACTAAGTTACTACATTGGTGATTCTAGCTCACGATAATAATGAGCACTTGTATCGTGCGCCGATTGTTGAGTCTGAAATGGCAAACAGCCAACTGATCATAATTAATTACAATATCCCATCAATGTTTATTTGCGCATCCAGTTCCATCATTTGACTCTTGCATACACCTCTAAACTGCATCAACAGATCAGTCGACAAGGTACAAATTAAAGCATTCTGATACATGCTTTTTTTTTTTTTTTTTTTTTTTACCAAAATTTCACCTAAAACTCAATTCGCGCAACGAAAAATAATTGAAATCAACTTTTAACTAAGATACTAAACGTTTTCTGATGGGCAAATTCAAAGCTCACTCTTATGAAAAACAAAAGTCTACCCGAGTCAAATTGCGCACTAAACTTTACCGTATTAGTATCCGTAGCATCAAAATACAGTCATGCATCTCAATGTCGGTACTTCGGCTCAGTTGTTACACGTTTTTAAAACTTTGAACGATACAGGGTATAGGGAAGGATTACTGATTGATTCAGAAGCCTACTAAGACTGTTGAAGAGCACGAATTGGCATGGGAATTTCCTGTAGCCAATGTAAAATTAGAACGTTAATATCTTAGTTAGGACTTGGGAGTTACGTAATTTTCGCCACGCAAATTATTAACTACATGAAATTTTGAAGACGAAACATGTATCAGTGTGCATAAATTCCTACCCTGTCTGCTGGTCCAATGATCTTCTTCAATCATTGTTAATCTGATAAAAACAACGGGTATCTAGAAACGAGAGTTAAAAATTATCTGTTATAATATTTTTTATGAAGGAAACTTAGTTGCAGTTACCTGCTAAGTTTTGTGCCATTTTCACTTCAATCAAGCACGATACACCCAGGGACTTTAACGCAAAACTTCTAGTTACTGTCTTGTTAAAAAAGTAAAATTTAGGTAGAAAATTTGAAATATTGCTAAAGAGACAGCGGCTTTTCTCACTTAAGCGCCAATAAATTATACTTGAAGTACCAAAAAAGTAAAAAGTACTTAAGAGGGCAATTATTTGATTCTACTAAATACAAATGGGCGTGGTTGAAACTATTCTACATTTGCTCGCGAAATTTATATGTCATGATGCTGTAATTTTGATATATTTCGTGGAAACGGAAAAATTGATCCGGGTAGCTTTTAAAAGATCAACTCAAAGTATTAGGATTGACAAATTAAGCACGCGTTGGCGTGTTTCATGATCACACGGTGAAAATATAAGTAATGAGGAAGTTTTATGACGGATATTCAAGAGTCTGAAGTGTATAATTTCATTTGTTTTCCAAAATTTGTTTTTGGAAACGTACTCGTAAGGTTTCTCTGATTTATTAAGAATCACTTTGCATCAGCGAATTTGACATAAGTTGTTTTTGCACTCACTTAAGTCCAGAACCGCACAGCATATTTATGGTCCATGCCGGTGCCTCTATGGGTACTCCCGCGTTTATGGATGCCTGTCGTGCCGTATTTTGACCTTGCCCAGCTTGTAGGCTCTGAAATAACAGAAATCTATTATGTATAAGGGTACCAACGATTCGAAGTTTGCCGCAAACTGAACAAACTGTTTGCGGGAGAAGATGTGAAAGAAGGGCAATAGTTCATGATTTGGTCGCAAAAATGAATATATAGAGATTGATAGTAAAAAAGCGAGTATTTAGATTCCAGTATTTCAACATTTCCCTTCCGACTTCATTTTTTGAAAGAAAACTAAATAAATATTCTTGGTTAGAACTTTGAGATAACATTTGCCCCTCAATGAAAAAGGTACATGCATTATCGCAAATTAAAAATAATCGATTTTTCTCCACTTATAAACAAAGTTTAGCCGGAAAGCTTGTAACGTCACAAACTAAGATGTGTAGTTTTCTATTTTCCTCTCAGATGTGCGCTTCAAACAATAAAGACAAATGCATAAGCATTTGATCAATTGGATTACATTTTGCAATAAGGAACCACTGTTTTCAGCTCACTTTAGAAACAACATATGTGCCGTTGGTTTCCCTACGCAGATATGCGTTCTTGTGGAAGATTCAGAGATAGTGGTTCCTCATTGCAAATAAATGTAATCCAATTGATCATCTGATTTTCGCATCATGAACCTCATGGGTTCGAGAGATAATGCAGTGCATGAATGTTGATGATCGCGAGTGAACAGTGAGGTTCTGACTCATCAGTGTTTTATTCCATATCGATCGAGCCGCATAGGGATTCCCTGAGGGACAAGCTGATGCAAGAATGGAACAGTATGGCTATGAAACATCACAGTGCCTTAATTTTTTAACAAATTCTACTTGATTATTCCTATTTTTTGTTTTTTGTTGAAAAATGCACCTAACTTGGAGTGAAATCTACTGAATAAAGACTTCCTGGACCATTGTACATGTTGACTGAATTATTGCTCCCAGATTGTACAATAGAGAATTTGCAGGTGTCTAAAATGTTGTGAGTTTCATCTTTAAAATGACACCATTAGAAAGACTGAGCACGTGGATATCCTTAGTTTCAAAATTGGACAATTATTAGAGAAAATATGGTAGAATAACCTAATTTGCTAAAATACGTATGTTTAAATGTAAATGCCGCCAGATAACTTCATAAGGCGGCACATTTTCTAACTTTGAAATCTATTTTTCTCCAATTTCCCATGTCAGAAAAAAACTATGAAAAATACTACTCAGCTCATTTGCACTCTTAGATGAAGCAATAAAATTTTTGCATGCAAATTCTCCATTGTCTAATAGTTTTACTGAAGTATGAAAGTAGCGTTGTACCTGTCCGAGAATTACTTCAGAAACATCTTTTGCGTCAACGTCCGCCCGCTTCAAGGCTTCTTTAATCACAATACTTCCTAGTTCATGTGCCCGTAAATGTGACAGTGATCCCATGAAACTGCCTGTTAAAATCATCAAAAATAAAAATGACTGATCAGATAATAGAGTTAAAACGGAGAAATATGGGTTTTAGGTTTTATCCCTCAATGAAGCTAAAAGTGGAAACTGCAGAACTTAGAAAAGACTTATTGCATCCAAAATATTTTTTGCAGATAGTCGATTTTCAGTAACCGACGCTCAGTGGAACAATTCCTTGGAAGAAATCGGACATGAAATTTTTGAAAAAAATTGTAAAATTTCACGTTTACGTCCTCACAATTTTAATTTTAAGGGGTGCTTTTAAGAGAAAATTTCGCGAGAAAAACAATGAAACTACTTTTAAAACATCAACGTTACATATTAGTAAAGATAAGCGCTTTTAAAGTTTTTAAGTCATGTCCTACCTCTTCCATTGACTCGTTCAATTGTGCAGCGCACAGTGGATCGAGTCAACTAGAGAAGTTAGACTTGAAATTTTTGATCAAAATTGCAAATTTCGATGTTTCTTTCGTCAGATTTTAAATTATGAGGGGTGGTTCTGGTTGAGAATTTCACGAGAAAACCAATGAAACCACTTTTAGAACCTCAAAGTCCTGTATAAACGGAGTTATAAGCGCTTAAAGTTTCCAAAGTTTGTCCGACTTCTTCTATTGACCTGGCCCAGTGTGCGGCGCCTTTAACTAGAATCAGTCAAATTCCAGTAATACACGTTGTTTAATTTTTTCTCAAATTTTATTCGGATCGTATGAAAACAAAAAAATATACAAAACCTTAAAACCAGTTGATTTCCCCGAAATCTTAAAGAACATATTCAATAAATTTCAAAGCTGAAAGTACCTTAGTTTTCCTGCACTGGAAAAAAACACATTGGATCTAGAGTCCAGACTCTTGAAAACATTGACAAGAAAAAATACTCTTGATTCAATCAGATTTTTGCTTAAATCAAAAGAAAATCCGCTCAAATTAAGAGGCTTGGTTCTTGATTTAAGCAAAAATCTGAGCAAATCAAGAGTATTTCTTCTTGCCGGTGTTTTTAAGATTCTGGACTCTAGATCCAATGTGTTTTTTTCCAGTGTGTGGTGAAATAAAATAAAATAGGAATTCATTCTAAACCTAACGTGGTTGTGCTGACTGTAAATCAGTCACTCAACTATGCTACCAGGACGTACCTATGGGAGTTCGGACAGCAGCAACGATGACTACATCCGACTGAGCCATGATCTGGGATGTGGATTTTTGGCGGGTGACTGCGACTGCGACTCCTGGTATCGGGAACTGGGAAATTATTCCGCGGGTGCTGGCTCCACCGTCGTCGTTGGGGTCGGGGCAACTTCTGCGAGTAGCGACGTCGAGTGAGCTAACATTGTGCAAAGGTGTGGCTCCGCCTGCGACACACTTGAAATCCACACCGGCTCATCTCCTCAAACGCAGTTGCCGCTCCTGCACCCCATGCGAAAAAAGAAAAGAAAAAAAAGCTCATAGTTTTCATTCAGACCCGTCCATGAACGTAGGCAGAAATAAGGGGAGAAGAGCCCCCCCCCCCTTGGACTTACGCGGATCCAGGGAGGGGGGAGGGCGTAGCGTACGCTCTCCTCCCGTTAGCTGGAGAAAAAGAAGGAAAAAAAAGGAAAGAGAGAAAACAAGAGTAGGCGGAGAAAGAGGAAGGAAAGGCGCTTATGTTTGTATAGAACACTGGAAAAAAAAAACACATTGGATCTAGAGTCCAGACTCTTAAAAACATCGACAAGAAAAAATACTCTTGATTCAATCGGATTTTTGCTTGAATCAAAAGGAAATCCGCTCAAATTAAGAGGCTTGGTTCTTGATCTAAGCAAAAATCCGATTGAATCAAGAGTATTTTTTCTTTTCGATGTTTTTATGAGTTTGGACCCTAAATCCAATGTGTTTTTTTTCCCAGTGTACACGGAGAAAAAAACTTCATGTGTGGTACCCGAAATTGAGGTCGTATGGATCTCTGAAGTTTTCGGATTGTGCATCCGAAAACTTGAGGTCCAGCTATCGAAGTTCGGGTCGAACATCTGAAGCACTTCAGTATATGCCGAAGTACTTCAGACGTGTGGATCGAGCCCTTCGGTAAGCACCGGAGTACTTCAGATGTTTGACCCAAACTGCGGCAGCTGGACCTCAAGTTTTCGGATGCACAATCCGAAAACTTCAGAGATCCATACGGCCTCAACTTCGGGTCTCAGGCATGAAGTTTTTCTCTCCGTGTGCGAAATTGATTTAAACCACATAGTGGATGCTTTAAAATTTCGGCCAATTTTTTTTTGCGCCCTCTGTTGAAGGTGTCTGGATTCGTCTATGCCCTCGGAAATTAATCTACTTAGCCTCTTTCAAAAATGTTCGGGATTTTTCTGAATAAATGATCGACATATCTTCTATCTTTAAAATTGTATCCAATCAATTATTTGGCAAGAACAGCTCTAAATTGCCACTGAGACAACTTAATTTTTTAAAATTTTTTCAGGAGAGGTCTCCCAGGATCTCTTTTGGAGCTAAGGAAGTTATCCTGAACCCTCCCTTGGAATTGGGGAAGTCTCTAAGACTCTCCCTTATGGCGTTTATTTCTGTTCCTCCATCCTCAATGGAGGAGAGGTTTGCGGCAGCCCCCCCCCCCCCCCNAAAAAAAAAAAAAAAAAAAAAAAAAAAAAAAAAAAAAAAAAAAAAAAAAAAAGTCTTGCTCTTCACATCAAGCAAATTAATTTTTTAAAACAGGGATTTTATTGGCAAAGAAGCTGACCTTTTCAACGTTTAAATTAAAAATCAAGCCTGAAAAGCTTTATTCATTTTTTAAATTAAAAATGTGAATACCAGAATCGTCCTTTTTAAAATGAAAGAATGAATTTACGTGACACTGTTGCCGAACTTTCACACGTAATTCGTATAATAATGTGAATACCATTCGACGTTTCTCGTTGAAAATTTTAAATTTCGATCATTCCACCAATATAAAAATAAAATAATGAAAATAATATAAAATAAATAATGTAAAAAATAACGAAATAAAAATAATACAATTTCGAACAGAAATTGTGTCGTTGATTTTGGTGGAAAAATCTATACGAGTAGATTTTGCAGCCTAATAATAAAGTTGTGTATTCCCATCCAGGGGCGCCGAATTCGACGGGGAAAATAAAAAAAAAAATTAGAAATATTACCTCCTTTTTTTCTACAATTTCCTAATGCAAAATTTTTGCGCCATTGTATTTATAGTACAGTGGATCTTACCTTGAAAAGTATCAGTGCCGTTATGACACTTCCGTATCACTTCACTCACACGCCACCCACTTCACAACGCGACCTCCTTGATGACCCAGCAAACTAGACCCGATAAACTGCAGCAATTCGCAATGCACTTCCTTATCGAACCCAGGCAAAAAACGGCTAACACAATAAATAATCAAGCTCGAGCGATAGACGAACACAGACAAGTGACACAAAACTTAGCGTAAGCCTCGAGAATGAATGAAAGCCGCACAGAGGGACCCAGTGACACACACTGCGCGGACTGAGTCTCCGTCCAGCGATGACGATGACGACGACGATGATGATGATGATCAGGTGAAATGGGCTCGTCTAGTGAGGCTGGGTCATGGTCGGCGGTAAGTGGATTCCTGTCCGTCGCTCTGCCGTCCTAAGGAAGAACGCCGTATGAACATTCGAGAGTTGCCAAATTTCCCTTGATAAAACATGAATTTTTGACAACATTTACGTACATTTTTCTTTTAAATTTTCAGATATTTTAGATATAATTGTGTACAAAATAGTCTGAAAATTTTGGGAAAAAATATGCACAATTTTCTCAGTAAATTCGGTTTTTATCGAAGGAAACTTGGCAACGTCTGAATGCTCATACGGCGTTCTTCCTCAGCACGGCAGCGCCGGTGCCGGACTTGGGCGATGACCCGCCCGACCGTTGCACAGTGGACCGGGTCAATAGAAGAGGTCGGACAAAATTTGGAAACTTTAAACGCTTGTGACTTCGTTTACACAAAACTTTGAGGCTCTAAAAGCGGTTTTATTGGTTTTCTTGTGAAATTATCTTTCAGGATAACCCCTTAATGTTTAAAGTGTGACGAAATATACATCAAAATTTGCAGTTTTAGTCACAAACATGTCCGACCGAAAATTGACTCGTGTGCGCCGACCGGGTCTCTCGGAATGCGATACGATCCGGAACAAAAAGCGAAAGTGCTCGACCGGTACGCAGCCCCTGGGCAAAAAACGCGTAAACCACCGCGGACACCGTGCGGAGATCCGTGGTTTATGCTTAGCGTCGTGATGTAGAAACGGTAGGCCGTAGAAACCACGCAATTGGATCTGATTCTTCAAAAAAAGAATTAAGGCGTATTTAGTTAGCGTTGTCGATTCTTCGTTCTCGTTCGCGAGAACTCTCGATTAACCGCGATTGCGTTAGCCGCAGATGCTTGCTAATTTCAAAATCACCCTAATAATTTCAGTATTATGCTTTTATTATTTTCAGCTATTAAAACAAATAAACACAGTTATTAAGATAGTTATAGCTAATATTACGGTATTAAGTTAGTTTGAGTTATTTGAAATGGGACTTTCGTCCTGATTTCCCCCTTGTCAACCCCACCGGGGGGGGTTTGCCGGGGGGGGGNGCGGGGGGGGGGGTATTGAAATTTAGACGGTCAAAATTTTATAAGCTTTCATTTGGGGTAGCGATTGTTGAGAGTGGGCTTTGCCAATTGAGGCACTGGATGGAAAAAGGGCACTTCTCGATTGCGGTGTTTCAGAATTTCTGTTGCCACACCGAAAAAAATAATATGCTGTTTGAGCATCTAGGATGTCAAAAATGTGTCTGGTGATCCCAAAATGCTGCCTTTACTGCCCCCGCAGTTAATTTTACATCCTGTGAATGCAAATTCAACTGCGGGGGCAGTAAAGGCAGCATCTTGGGATCACCAGACACATTTTTGACATCCTAGATGCTAAAACAGCATATTATTTTTTTCGGTGCAATTAATTCCTTGGAGAAGAATTTAATGAGTGATTTTTCCAGATTTCTTTCCACAGAGACTTGTAGAATCATAAGGAATATTCAGTAAAATTTTTAGTGAAATGGATGCATTAATTTTCCTTACAATGAATGAAATATTAGAGGAAACTCTGAAACACTGCAATCGAGAAGTGCCCTTCTCGCATCCAGTGCTTCAATTTGAATGTATGTAAAATAAGGAAGGAACTTATACACCCATAATTTTAGCTCAGAATATGCACTGACAATAAAATGCCAATATTTGACTTCTTTCCATTTTCCAACCCCATCCTCTTATGCCCTTAATTTCAATTTTGCTCGTCCAATGATAGCTCTGACAAGGCTCTACAAATTGCAAAAAGTCTAGTTGAAATATTTAACAATAATTTATAAGAAAGATGTGACTCCTTAAAAATCAGATGATCTTAAAAAGGCGGAAATACATGCACTCATGCATCTCACTTAAAATTTATCGATAGGCTATGCGATTGAAATTCCATCATAAGAACTTTAAAAAAAATGATCTCAAGATATTACGAAAATTGATACATCTTACCAAAACTGGATTGCATTTTGCAAATAGGAACCACGGGCATTTCAATGTTACTAGGATTGTGCTACTTACATTCCTCGCAAAAAATTACTGAGATCTTGCAAAAACTTTAATTTACCAGGGTAATTTTCGTATTGAATTCATCGTTCATTGGAAGTAAAGATAAAACCTGTTAAAATGATCAGTTTATATTTTTATGGTAAAAAAAGTCTCACAATCTTAGCGACATTGAAAAGAGTTTGGTTCCTTTTTGCAAAATGCAATCCAACTTATCATCTTAAACATTTTCGAAGTCGGGTTTGAGAAGTTTGAGTTTTCCCCGTTTTGAAGAAACTTCTATGAGATATTTCATTTTATTTATTTATTTATTTATTTATTTATCTATCTATTTATTTTTTTATTTATTTATTTATTTATTTTTTCAGAAATATTTGAAAAAATCTGTTACGCATCATTCTAATATGAGTGATTGGTTCAATCAACGAAATCATTCCACCCCATCTGTTTCGGGGTTCGCAACATTTACATCAAAGTATGAACGAGCATGATGATGGTGACTTATCAATTGCATCAGGTTGCATCGAAGATAACCATACACTTGTACAAAAAGACAGGGGCTTATCTCAAGTGTGGATCAGGATCGCGTGACATTAATTAAAAGCACCACTT